TTAAGATACGCAGGTCAACATGTAGGTCATCATCATTCAGTTTATGGGCTCCTTGGTGGCTGCAGGAGCTGATAACCGGACAAGCCTCCTGGGCACACGACGACAAGGGGGTGGAGGAGGCCCCTGTGAGCCAGAGTCCAGCCTGATATTTACTGTATTTTGGTTTATCTTTTTCCTACACAATACACCTGCAAACATAGGCTTAAATAAGTGGTAGAAAGGACTTACTTAGACTGTCTTTAACTTCAAATCCAACGTGAACAAAATACTTACATTTCAACCACCAGCAGCACTTTGAAGTTAAGGTTACGCACAAAGACACAGCTGCACATGATCATACTTTACCCATGTTATGCCTCAGACGAAGCTGTGATTTTGAAAAAGCCTGTCAGTGAAATTAAAACGATCCTTCTCTAGTTTACAATACAACAAATGATATATGATTATCAGTGATGGCCAGCCATGACAGCAGTGGGAATAAATGGGTACACACGACAGCAGGACTTCCAGGAACTTCCTGGCACAAAGTCTGAGTTAATCAGCGTCAGTGCTCATGTGATTGATAAGACTGTGAAACTCTGAACAGGCAGAGTTGTTTATGCTTTTACAACTAACCTTTTTGCTTTTGAACACCTCATGTTTGTGTTACAGTGACATCAGTGGTTGGAAGAAATAAAATACATGAGTATTTCCATTTTATGATAATTTAAACTTTGGCTATAGGCCTACGATGTTTTTAAGATTCATCTGACAGCTTTACAGGTTCAGATTTCTGAAAGGCTACAAAACATATCATCAACAATTCAGATATATTAGCGTCAAAGGAAAATAGGCCTACTGGGAATTTATTTACATTTTTAAATTTTGGCTTAAGAGTAGTTGCAAACATTTTGGTCTAGTTGAGGGTTAGATGAGAAGATCGAAACCACCCTCATGATTTTACGGTAAATATCAAGTTGGATCCAGCCGCTAGTTAGCTTAGCTTTGCATAAAGTCTGAAAACAGCTAACCTGGCACACAACTGTCCGCAAAACTTGTCATTTTCAATCTATGGATTTTCTGAATAAATAAAAAAACAAGATAAAACATGTTACTGAGGTTTAGAGGTACTGATAGCCAGTTTTTGCTAGTTTTGAACAGAGCCAGGCTAGCTGTTTCCCCGTCTTGATGCTAAGCTAAGCTAACTTGCTGTTGGCGGTAACTTCATATGTCAAACTATTCCCTTTTCCTTTCCTTTTTGTTATCCAGCAGGACAAAGTACATAAAATTACCGTTTTCACATGAATGTATCAGCGATAATAATCTGATAATATGAAATATATTCTGCATAATGAGTATCTGACACGTTGCTAATTAAACATTCACACTTTTATGTACTTGTACTTGTATTGTAGCAACGGATATGAGCACCTCCAACCCTGCTGACAACATTTTTCTCAACAGGGAAGTCCAACATTTTAGGTGACTCCATGAGATGTAACCGTAACTGACCAGCCTTGCACGCTCATACAGGAAGTGCTCAGTCACCCATTGTCATGTGTCACTCTGCTTGAGCAACACGGTCCAGTCACACATCAGCTGCTGAGAACGGCGTCTACTTTCTGCTAATGCAAGGACATCATATATTTTTAGGCTCTGTAAAGTATGATGGTAAGGAAAATTTGGAACATCATGCACCCTGTGTGTGTGACAACATGAAGACGTGATGCGTTACATGGACAAATGTAGATGAATCATACCGCATTATATCAGCATTTCATCAGTGGCGGAGGAGCTATAGCTGCTATATTAATGCTTTGAATGTTGCATACAGAACCTTTAATACAGGGTCTCTATCTAAATGTCTTTGTTGACATGTCTGTGCAGCCACATGGTTTCCTGTTGTGAACTATCTGCTGAATATTCAGTTTATCTTCTCTCTAACAGGCCCATGATGAACCCTGTGAACCGCTAACAAATAATTACTACATTCCTCAGACTGGGACGCTGCGGCTATCAGCTGCGGGCCTGGTCTTCACATCCAGACACAAAGGTTGACAGACGTCAACGCTGATGAACATGTCTACAGACCGCCGGGGTCACTGTCACTCTTACATGTTGTTTTCACATAACAGCCTCGACTGAGCAGTTAGTTAACGCCATTGATCCATTGAGCCATTGAGTTTTAGGTAACACAACAATGCCAAAGGTTGAGTATTCACAGTGAGGAAGTGAACTGTGTGTGAGCTGTGTGTTATGAGCAGAAGCCTGGTTGTGCTGCAGTAAATGTCCTCTCAGTAACACCAACGAGAATGAAACTCAACCTGTTCAGACAATGAACTAAGAATTGTTTGCATCACATCCTGATGTGACACAAGTTCCATCCCAGGTACAAATGGATTTATTTTGCAAAAACTTACACCTGTTCACCACAAATATGAATTATTTCATATTTCATATATGTTTTTTTTTTTTTTTTGGCTATTTGCTATTTTACGTCTTACGTTTCCTTTGTTTGCTTCTTTTACACTGATTTAATGAGCACTGAAACTTCAAACTTCATCTCCACATTTCATATTGAGCTCATGCTCACATTGGAAATGTTCAAAAAATGTATTTCCTTATTAATTGTTGTACAGCAAAGCTCGAAATTGAATGCACTGTCTTCAAAATGTGATAAAATCATAACTTGAAACAGTTCAAACTTTTTTTTCTGAGATGAATTTTCAAAGATTTGTGAAAAGCAGTCTTTTTTCAGAAGTTAAATTGAGGTTATTGCCTTAATCTTAAAACACATTTAAGACTTTATTCAACAGCTAGAAACCACATTACAAAGTGTTAAACATGGGATTAACCACAGATCATGTTGCAGGTGTTTAACTGGAGTTTTGCTGTATATTTAAAAAGGTGCTTGAAAGCAAAAATTTTCACTGTATCTACATTTTACAACCTGTTTTGTGCAGAAGTGTGACAAAGGTTCATGTGATTTTTAAACGTCACACCCTCTGCTTCATTTATCTCTCTCTGTACAAATATGTTTGAATGACAGTCAACAGGCAAGTTGAGACAAAACCTGAGTCATGTGAGTGTGTGTGGGTGGAGGGTCGACGTTCCTGCTGCTCCACAATGAACCCAGAGACGTGTGAATAACAGCCTGGAATCTGGTGGAGGACAAATACAGCAACAAAACACCCTGAAGATTACAGTCTGTCCCCGCAGGCCTGATTCATTAATGACTTAAATTCATGTGCTTTTTAAACTAAAACTGGACGAGAAATAATTAAATTGCTTCTGATCTTGTTTTTTTAGTAAGAAAGGTGCTTTACATTCATTTAGTTATGAGTTGTTTTGAGAATTAGGGCGACACTGCACAACAGGTGTTTTTGATTTGTTCTCACACACACACACCCTACTTCACTGTAAACTTAATAATTTTGGTAATTTCTCAGAATTTCTCAAAAATAGAAATAAAAGCAAAAAATAATTAAAATCAAGGACTCTGGTCAATAAAGGAGCCCCAGAGTTTCTGAATTAATCCAAAAAATAAATAAATAAAAGAATAAAAATTAGTAAGCTGTATAAAATAATAAATAAAATAAATAAATAATACACTGATTAACTTGTTACACCCGATAAATAATGTTAAGTATCAGTACCTAATTGCTTCATGTAATAAAGTTTTAAAGCATTAACAAATCAAGATGAGTTGCACCACTGTAGTTCACATTGATATCAGTGAATCGCCTCTAACTATAGTGATGTCTAAAATATGTTTTTAAAAAGACAAACTACAAAATCTCATCATTACAGCAAAAAAAAAAGATGTTGTTACTCATCCCTCCCCTTCCTCAAATCTCTGTCTGCCTCTAATAAAGAGAATAAAGGTTTAGGAAGTGACGTTTAAAAAAAAAAAAAAAAAAAAATCTGCTAAAATTGTATGCTTCTGCAAACCTTGTTCTTATTGACATACCTAAAGTGACATAGTGTATGATCTGACTTTGTCATAGAGAGTTGGGGGGATGAAGGATGGTGTGACACCTTGGCAAGATGCCTGCCGCGCTGCACTGACCACTGTTTGAGACCAAGAAACAACAGAACTTTTTGTTTTGTAGCGACCCATCAGTGTTTTCCTAGTGATTTTTCAGGCGCTTTTTTCTTTACAGAGACATTGCAGCATTTCCAGCAGGGATTGTTCCCCAAACCTGGCATTTTAAGTGAAAATATGATCTTTTCCTGACCATAGCCAAGTGGTTTTTGTGCCTTAACCCAACCACACATTAGCCACAGTGTTTTAAAGATAAAGTTTCAGTGTATTCACCACATAATAACAGGCAAATGCAACGAATCTCAGGTTTGCAGAAATGTACAATGGCAACACTTACTCTGAAGATTTGCTTGTTGCTGCTGACACCTGTTCTTTTTTTTTTAAAGATATTGTTTGCCTTTATTTGACAGAATAGCCAAGTGTGAAAGGGGGAGAGAGAGAGAGAGAGAGAGAGAGAGAGGGGATGACATGCAGCAAAGGGCCACAGGCTGGACTCGAACCCGGGCCGATGCGGCAACAGCCTTGTACATGGGGCGTCTGCTCTACCACTAAGCCACCGACGCCCCTACCCCTGGTCTGATCATTTTTCTATCTGTCTGTAATGGAAGAACGTCACCCTCTCCTCATTTTGTGCTGTTAAGCAACATTTTTAGCTTTCAACTTGCAGACGTTCAGTTCAGTTCCTTGTTTTATCAAATTATTCAGTATTTTCTTAAAAACAAAAAAGCAAATATTAGAGGAAAGCATAAAAAACAAACACTTTGTGCTGTAGAAATGTGTTTTTCTGTTGCTGTTTTGTTCTTTTAAGCATCTTGGGACCTCTTAAGTCAGCCACTGCTCTAAAGTCAACATCTATTTATGTGTTACCTTTCCTCGTTCTTAACTTAAATTGATAAAGTAAGGATTATCTGCTTCTACACAACCGTAGGAACCTGTCTCTAACTGTATGTCTTTAATGAGGACAGAGACGACGACATTAGGTAAAGAATTTATTATAAAATGTATTACACTATAAAGTGTCAGAAGTATTAAGAACATGGCATTCCAAGACATGCTAAAAGAATGTAACATAAATAGCGACAAAAAGACAATGTGTGCAATGTAGCGATTAGACCGGAGCCTTCGAGGGGGAAATATCGAGTTCGTCTTTCCGCTTCGAACAGAATCGTACAGAAATATGTTTTTTTTTTTCTTTTCGGGACACTTTTTGAAATCCACTTGTTTCTGTCAAAGCCATCTGGAGAAAAAAAAGACACCAAACGGAGACAGAGTTGATAATAATAATAATAATATTATAGTGACTCCCAGCTTTTACAAAAACATAATATTCACTTCCCTTTCTGAAACATCACTTCCCAGCTTGTATACTGTACAAGGCAATAATAAGAGGAATGAACAAGTGTGTTTGAGGCACACGACATTGGCAACAAAAGCTTCAATAAAACAAAGAAAAATAAAATCATGTTTCCAACCAGTTTGGGACGTTTCATTTCATTTCATCATGTTTTGAGTTTTATCACCATATCTTTGTTTTTCTGTTCTTAGGAGAGATGTGTAGTACATTCATTTTGCCTTGTTGAAATTGAAATCGACATATTTGTGCCTAACAAATGAAAAGACGTGAGGATGAAGTCGAGGAAACAGGCCTCCAGTATTTACATCACAGCTGGAAGTTTTGCTGAGAGGATTGGCAAGTTCAGGCCGAGACAAAAATAGTGAAGCAAGTATTTGAAACAGTCCTCAAAGGTTTATGTCTGTGAACAGATGTTAACACTGGGGAAGTAAAGCGCACAGAAATACTGCACTCTGGCACATTAGCTCATCTTTAATCAAACTGAGACACCACGTCCTGGAAAAGATCCACAAAGTTTTAACTTTAAAGAGCATTTTCTCTGGTCACAAATATTATAAAACACCAGCTCACACAAAAGGACATGTCCCGGCCCTTTCTCAGCTAACACTACTAACTTCATGCCATCTTTTCCTTTGCTTCTGCTGACAGAGCCGGGCTGTGGCTTCATGATATAAAAAGACAAAGTGAAAGAAGATGTGAAGCCACGCATGGCCGACCAACACTGACAGCGATACCGAGAGAAGCTCAAATTTAGCTCCAGAGAAGCGGCGTCGATGCAGCTGTGTACAAATCTGACACTGTGGACGGTAACGTGACTGTCGACGTCACTAATGCAGAAAACCTGTTGAAGAAGCGTTAAAAAGCTGCAGTGTCAGGTGTGTTTACTGGATATATTAAATTACATCTTAGCTCAGTAGAAAATCTTAAAAATGACGTCATTTTTTAATCATTTTGGTGGCACTTTCTTTTCAAAGTAAAGGAAGCTGAGCAGCATCAGTGTACGGCCCCACCCTGTCTGCCAGGAGGATTTTAAACATCTTTTAGTTTTGTGTGACCCTTATACAATTTTGGTGCTGGAGGGATCAACATCCTTCAATAAGACACTGAACTTTGGGGAAAAAACGTTTCTGTTTCTGTTAAAATGGCTCAAGGTCCCTTTGGGTGAATTGAAAATGAGTAAATAGATTTTTAAGTGAAAACATTTATAGTTACACTTTGTTTTACAGGTCTCATAGTTCACTCAAAATTCCAAGAAAAGAACTGATATTAACTGTAAACTCTTGAAAACTCCTGGAAAGGACAGTCTCTTTATTTGGTGACAGTTAAAGGAAAAACAAACTTTAATTCATGTCTGGCGCTGCATTTTCTGATTTCCTGTTAGTATAAAAATGGCAATGTGCATTGATTTCTTGTAGACCAGCTGCAAAGCACAGTATACTGTACAAAGATTAGTATTATAGCTGCACAATTAGTCGAATAATCAGTCCACTGAAAATTATTTTGATAATCGGCTGATCGCCCACCACCACTGCTCACGCTAGGCTGACCAGGAAAAGAGCAGTGCACATGGAGATCGTGGATGTATTAAGAGTACTGGATACAGAGTGGGAGGTGTGGCACCTTTCGTTCCTATGTGAGTTGCTCAGTGGCGCCAGGCTGTCTTCTAATTTTTCCCAGTGGCCACTTGCGGTATTGCAGCAAAAAAACAAACCAAAAAAAAACACTGCCACCCAAAAAGCATTTCCCCCATAGGCCACCATTATAAAAGAGACGTCTATTAAACTGTTGACAGGACACCTCACACTGCAAACAAGGTCAATTATGACTCTGTCTATAATGAAATTCTAATCCATGAAGGTTTTATATTTGTAAAACTTTCCTTGAGCCGAGAAAAACGAAAATCTTTGGCGTCATCACAATGTGAAGTCTATGAGCAAAGGGGGAATTCACAGGTAGGGCCAGCGGGAGAAACACTAGTGTGCATATTCAGTGGGCTGCATATCACGGAAGTAAACCTAGAAGCTAGAAATTTTTTTGGCATACGTGCCAGGCAAGTGACTCTATTGAACTGAACAGGCGCCATCTTGGCGTTCAGTATCCCGTCATTATCATACATCTATGGGTGGCGCATGAAGCCAAAAAAGGTTCAACTGCCGTGAAAAATAACTCAGCTGATCAGTACTGCGTGGCCCACAGAGCACGCACACTAGAGACTTCTGCCATCCTAGCCGGCTTCTGGTTTAGCGCTCTGCCAAGTGGAATTAGAAAAAACAAATTTGAGACTTTCCAAATGTTATCGGACCAAATTCTGATGGTAAAACCAGTAATTTCGTTAGGTTTGTGACACCCACTGGTTCACAGGCGTCTCTTTTGCTGTGCAAGACTATGGGAAAAAATATTTTTGGGCCCAACTGCACCACATGACGGACGTAATTCCACTATTTGACCACTATGAAAATTGATTTCAAAGCCTTGTGCACTTTCTCATCCTGGTCAAGATGGCTAGCATTAGCATTAGAGGAAACATTGACGAGCTACAGCAATACATATTTGAGCCTCAGTCAGAGCTAGACTCAGATGAGTCTACTGTACACCAACATCTGCGACCAGCAGACGTATCAGAATGGTGAGTGTAGTTAGCATCTTTTATCTATGTTGTTTGTTAGCTTGTAGGCTAACTGGCAGTGACGAGGGCAGCGTTAATGGCTGTGAAACATACGATATCTGCTATGATGTGGTTTTTGGTAGATGGTGAATGGAAGTTTCAGGGTCTGGACATCCCAAAACTGCACACTCTCCATGTTTGCTGTCAACACTTTCACTATGCTAATGCTAACTCTGCTCTCTGTACTGACAGGTCTGCTCTCCAGTGGAGGTTTCAGGTGACTTTGCTGGTGTCACGTTGAAGTGTGTTCCCTGGTTGATTTGCGTTTCCCGTATTGACGTGGTTTGGCTTTGGTATTGGTGACGTACCTAATCAAGCTTGACCGGCGTATATTTGAATCTTAGATTTTATGGAGTCCACAGACGTCAGTATTTTAGTGAAGGGGGACTTTCAAGTAATTTTCATTTTCACCGCTACTAGCTTCCAAAATGTGAATGTTTGCTGGTTTTCTTTTCCAGCTATCTCTTGTATGGTAATAGGGCTTTGGATGTCCACATAAAAATATTGAATAGTGCAGCTTTAATTACAAACATGACGTACCTTGTAGTGTAACCCAAAGGTCCTTTTAGTCACAGTGTAGCTTCATAATTAAGTGAAGTTCTCGTTATCTTTTGATCTCTTTTTTGGTCATTAACATTTTAGCAGGTCTTTAAAGGAAATTTCAACAGCACACAAGTAACTGTCTTATTGCGCTGTCTCATTATAGTTCATACCACATCACTGTTCTTTTCAGAAGCTTCTTAGGAACTTATGAGACCTGTACAATAAAGTGTCACCAAAAATTAATCAACGAAAGATTTCTGTTGTTGGATTAATGAATAAATAATAAGTCAACAAGATCATCTGTATGTATGAACCCACAAATGCACCGATTAAACATAAATTGCATTGTTTCCCACAGAGCATCACATCGACTCCATGCTGACTCCAGTGAGGTGTTTCACCTCCCAAACACTGAACAGAAAACAGCAGAAGTCTGATCTCTGATTTCAGCTTTCTGTTTGTTTTGTAGCCAGTTAAACTATTTGTAACATGAGCCGAGCATTAGTTTTTCTTTCTTCGTTAACCTTTTCCTGCCTTTTCCATTTTCAGACTATAGACTTGATTGAAATTAATTTTACTATTAGTGTCAACAAGGCACAGTTCTTCAAATGTTTGGAAAGAACTACTGTTTTTTTTAAGAATAACAAGACTATTTGTGCTCTTTAGGGAGGTAGAAGGCCACAAAGGCACTCTGAAAAATGCTGTTAATTTATTAACGCTAAGCTTGAGCGGCCCAAATGTCACATCAGTAAAACAGAAGCATGAAGGGAGATAGTATTACATGTAACTGTGGTGGATGGAGGGAGTAGAGATGGCAGCCTCCTACACTGAAAGAGGTCCAAACATGAGGCAGCCATTTTCAATTGCGTCCATTTCTTCATGTAGAGTTGATAGTTTTTAAAAATTTCTGTCTTTAAGCTGTAAGATGAGTAAGTGTGCAGGCGAGTTGGAGGGATATTAAAAAGCAGCACAACAAGATTAAGAACAAAATAAAAGCACAGGATTCCTCTTTGGAGCTCAGGACAATCAGCTCTTTCACAACATTCATGGTGGAAGGGAAGGTCAGCTGTACAGGTGTGGAGAGCACAAGCACAACATCTGGTTCATACGCCAACTTAATGGGGTGATTAAGGGACGAGCAGCTGAACGATTGCACTTCATGTTCATTCACACACGAGTCCTGTTTCGGGGGAAATGTCACATCAGACTACGTGATGTTTGGCGAGGACATAGAGCCGACCCCGTTCAGTTCAGCGGGATATGACGGAGCTGATGGAGTTGTACGATGTGCCGCCGTTGCAGGTGGGCGGGTAGCCGTTGGCGGCCCCCACCACTGCTTCCATGTTGACCCTGAAAACAGGAGAAGCTTTGAGTAGGAAGTCGGCGGCATCTCGGCGACCGAGCTCCCTCAGTTTGGCCATCAGAACGCCCACCGTGCTGTCCGCTCGCCCACTCCATTCTTGCAGCAGTGCTGCTGTCGGGCTGGGCTGCAGCATGGCCTGCTGGGAGTCCGGGGCTGAGTCCAGCTCAGGGGTGCCGTTTGGAGTCCCGTTGCTGTGTTTGGCCACCAAGTCTGTGAGGCCGAGGTTCATGGCCAGCAGGCACCAGTCTTTCCCCAGAGCATCAGGAGGGTCCAACATGCGGCAGAGCTTCCTGCGAGCCAACAGGGGGACTTCTGATATGTGAATGTCCGTTCCCAGAGTCCCCTGCTGGTAAACTTCAGCGCAGCCGAAAGACAGGATGCTGCTAAAGCTCTCTCGGTAGCCGCCCATGGTGTTAGTGAGCGAGGTCTCCCGCTGGACTTGAGCGCGGAAGAAATCTTTGGGTTGGTAGATCATGATGGGGGCGTGGTGCTCCCGCAGCTGCTGAGGACTCAGGTAGTATTTGGCAGTGAGTAGTCCGGGGAGCGTGGAGGCCAGCAGGTTCTCTGTTATACTACAGATGGTATCCAACAGGGTGTAACACTTGGCCCGCTCTGAGTCGTGCCCACGCACCTGAATCTCCAACCCCTGGCCGTGGTTGACCAGCAGGATCATGGCCTCCACTGCTCCCTGGCTCACCTTGGCTCCGTTGGTCCACAGGTGGATATCTCCATCGAAATCCTCCCCGCCCTCCTCCTCAGGCTTCTGCTGGTGACTCCAGCGACACAGGTTCACCTGCAGTTTATGAAACAGGCCACAAGGGAAGGGGGTCAGGTGCTCCGCGGGGACGAGTCGTACTCCGCCGTACAGGAGTGACTCCTCCTCCTCTTCTTCGGTCCAGGAGCGGTGGAGGCCATTCGTCTTGATGAGGGCGGGAACATCTACCATGGAAGGGTTGGTGGTGTCACGGGCACAGACGTCCATGGCGTCCAAGATCTGCAGCAGCTCGTCCACGTCACTCTCAGGAGCCAGAGCCTGCACCTCCTCCAGCCTGTAGCGCCCCCTGTAGTGGTGGATGGCCTTGGGCGTCTCCACTGAGAGCAGCTTGCCGAGGATGTTGCTGCAGAGCCAACGGGGCTCCAGCAGAACGACATCCTGCACCGTCTCACTCTGCATGATGTTGATCTGTGAGAGGATGGAGGAAATGATGGAGGAGGAAAGAAGAAGAAAGATGGTGAAAGAGGAAGAGGAAAGTAAAAATAAGTCAGAGAAGGTGGAAGAAAGTAATCAGAGGGAACAGGTGTGGGTAGAAAAAGGAGAAACGTGAAAAGAAAATGTGAATAAAAAGTTAAATGTGGTAAAACATACTGACACAAAAGAAAAGTGATCACCCAAAAAAAAGACAGTTGCTGCACTGATAGTAAAACAGGACACTAAGTGTCCTTAAAAATAAAATCAAATACATAAAGAAACATTTCAGACTCAGTTCCTCATTTTTCTTCCTGAGCTGAGTCACTCTGGTAAACAAACAGAGAAACAATGTGTTTCTGCTGTGGAGTAATTGTGAGTAATTGTTTACACATGAAAACAAAATGTTGGTTTCATTTATTCTTGAACTAACTGCACACCCTGGTGGCCGTCTGGTGAACTGACAGTCAGCTGCCAGAGACGAAATTTGATGTCAAACGTAGCAATATAAACAATAATTATTATATAATGATGAGAACAATTTCCCTTAACATGCTCAATGCAAGAAATGCCACAAGTTAATTTATGTTTTGTGCCAGATTGAATGTAATTTGTTAACTAACAAATGGGAAATAGTCCAATAAATCATCATTTCGACCACAGGAACTTTCCCAACCAACTAGAGTACCTTTGAAGAACTCATGAACTGCATGAACCAGGTCTAAATTAAGGTCTGGAGACATTTTACCCCACAAAGAGTCTCTGATAGAGAGCTGAACTTTCGGGGTGGGGTTTACAGGGATGACCGTCACTCATCAGTCAAACACTCACAGTACTGCTGCTTTAACTCGTGTACCGCTTCATTCATAAAAGAAGGACGTATTCTAGTGTCGATTTAGGACCACTATAAGACAAGGGGAGAACATTTTCTTTTCAATAACATTACAGGTAGAGTAAGGGTTTGCTAGGTGTGGGGAAAATAAGCAATTCTTAGATGCATTGCAATGCGGATGTAGACGATTTAGCATAGATTCACAAATGTCAACAGTTGATTATATAAATGTTTGTTAATAATGTGATGTCACTGGAACAAAGGAGGTGGAACTCGTCGCACCCAGACAGTGTACAGCGTGGACACACTAGAGTTAACTTGTCGGTGCTTTTGAAAGTCAAGGCTGAATTTCAAAGAGGTTACATCCCGCCAAAGGATTGTTCCAATCTCCAATCTCCGTATGTACCAAAGAGTCCTTCCTTCAGAGAATTTTCAAGGATGCATGTGTGTATCTTCACTGGGAGAGAAGTACCCACAATTCTTGCTCAGACGGAGTCTTGCCTAGTCTCTATTGGACCTGACTTGTTGGACCTAAACTTGTTTTTTTAACGTGTTGGTGTTGGTGGAAATGGAAGCCACACTTGAGGCTCTTGAGGCTGCAGAGTGTGTTCACCCCTGTGACCAGCAGCAGCCTTTATTCTGTCATGTTGCTTGTTCATACGCCAGGGACGACTGACTTGCCTTATGTTCCTGGGTATTTACACTGCTATGAAAATGCAGACAACGATGGGTCGAGGGAACTTCCTGTAAAGTGAGTCCTGGGACAAAAATGACCACAAACGTCTTGGTGGAAACGCGTCTATTGCTTTACTTTCCACTACCCTATTTAAAAATATGTAAATTAAGAGACATTGTGTAATATGATTTTAACCAAACCACAAGGCTGTTTTATAATAGTTTGTTTTTCAAAATTATTTTTACATGTGAGATTCTTTTGTCTCATTTGTGAGCGCTAAAGTTTAACAAGCAATTAATTAATTATAATTTTATTTTCCTGCAGTTACACACAGTCTGTTCTGAAGCTGATAAAACAAACACGCACCTCCCCCATGCTGTGCAGCTGCAGGGCCAGTGTGCGGAGGTGCTCCTGGCTGACCAGAGGGTTGATGTGCTCCTGGACGTCGCTGACAAACTGCTGCCACGACGTCAGCTGGTTTGGTCCGCTCAGCTTCCTCCAGGTCGGCAGGGTGGCCAGCAAACGCTCCGACAGCAGTGTCATGGGACTGCACCTCTGCAGCGATAGAGAAGGAGGGGACAGTGTGGATTCACTGCATGTTATTATGTCTTAACATATTAAATAATCTGACAAATGAAGAAGAGAAATCTTCCAGATTTACTATCTTCCCATAGAGATACTTCGCTGTGGAAATCATGAAACAAATACTTTTATTTCATTATTTCTGACAAAAAAGGGCAGAGGACACTGCAGGAAAGTTTGTGTCCCATTCAGACTTGATATGAGTTCATAAAAACTAGATTACTAAAGAAATTGTGTAGGTAGAAAAAGCAATTTCATAAAAATACTGTCTGTCTTTGAACTACTAATTGAACTGTGTGCACACGCTCTTTGAGGAAGATTTGGTAAATGTAAATTTTAAAATACAAACCCATATCAGGAATGGAAAGATGTAGGGAGAGCAACCAGGTGAGGGGAGAGATACTTGTATAAGTGTGTGTTTGCTCACAGAGATGATGTTGGCACGAAGCTCCTGCAGGTGATTCCGCAGCAGCTTCACGTCTTTGGAGTTTGAGGCTCCGGCGTCCATCACAAACACTTTGTCACTGATCTGCAGGTCGACCCCAAACCTGAACACAAAAGAAAACACACAACACCATTTTAAAACTCTTTTAACAAGAGTACTGAGACATGTGAAAAAGCATCCCTGAAATACTGAAAAAGTGGGAAACAGTCTCCCGACATTTTGTACTTTCAAACAGGTTTAACTACCAACACCAACTTTACTCATAGCTGCATATAATTTATTTAATTTCAGCAACTACAATATTTTACTTTGTTCTCCATGGCAATGGTTGCTGAGGCTCATGGGTACTGTAGTACACAAACAACTAAATGATCTCCATGTCTCTCTTGTGTGCTCTGGATATAGTCCCAACCTGTTTCTGACTTCCTTTAGCAGCGCTTTCTCCTTGCTGTAGGTGAACTCTCCAGAGAACGCTCTGGGGATGTCAGCGAGGTCGGCGTGTGTCGCCACCAGGACGACCATGAGAGGCTGCTGGACCCGACCCCCGAAAGCTGCAGGAAGACAGGAGAGCACACAAGCACTGTTACGGAGATTCGAGACAATAATTAGTGTCCTGCTCAAATGTTTCACCTCAGCTGACATCACAACCATTTCTCCTTTAAGTAAATGTATCAGTGACCCTTAAATATCCAACTAAAATGGAAGAAGTCTCTGTCTGTGTCTGTTCTCAGATTTTCTGGACAGCTGTTCATCGGATTGACTTCACACTTGGCCGGTGTGTTGCTGAGGACCAAAGGGAGTGCAGTGTCAAGTGTGAGCTCTTGAGATCAACAGGACACATTTCTTAATTGTGCATTTTGTACACACTGTGTAGTCTAATGAGAGGGGACCACTACTAACAGTTACACCACCAAACAGCATGCTGGGTACAGCTCACCCTCCATCATTTGATACGATGCATTCAGGAACAGATGAAGAAAGAGACTGGGGACGCTACACTGTAACAAGCTCAAACATTTCAAACATCAGCGATGGAACTTTGGGACTAAATACTTTAGTTCCTGGAAATAGCCTGGTCCCAAATAGCTAGCTGTAAATAGCAACATGTTTAATTTGTCTTTTCCTTTATGTAGTTTGTGCTGGTTGTTATTGATTCAAATGACAGAGTTGTAAACATGCCAGAGGGTCGGCAGTGATTTGGTTTTATGACCACACTTGGAGGAGATTCAATAGTGCTGCATTTGGAGATCTTCCATCTTGGTGATACTCCAGATGCAGTGTGCCTGCTTGCTCCAGGGAACAACATCACCTCAAGTGGCACTATTGGGGTCTGTAAAATCTGGGGCTTATTCACAGATATTAAACTGGGGCTTTGACTTAACTGAGGCCATAAAATGTTTATGTGAGTTTTTGCACCCAATGACGGCACACTCAAGCGCTGCTATGGTACACAACTATGACATGGAAGCTGTATTGCTCAGGACCCAAGGAAGCGCAGTGTTGCGTATGAAGTTGTTGTGATGAGCAGTACTGCAGGCCAAGCCACTGGCATGTTCCCAACAGGCACGATTTGAAGGGCACTGCATTAGTCTGAGTGTATTTTAGGATAAATAGAATATAAATTTGATTGTCCATTGATCCACTGATGCGTTTGGTGTCCTCACCGATGTTGTCCTGTGGCAGGTTGAGGGCTTTCAGCATGTTCAGCCAGTATGTGATGTGGCCCAGCTGGGTCTCGTACGGCTCCTCCAGGCTGAACAGGACCAGGTGGATCGCGGTGGCATCGTTGGCTGCAAAGTAGTCGTAGGAGCAGTAATAGACCGGGTTCCCCGAAAACTCCCACACGCTGAACTCCCCAACCCCTACAGAGAGGGAAGTAATGATGTTAATATCATTGGTGACCTCATTATTCAAAGCATTTCCTGTGTAACGTTTCAGTTTTGGTTAAATGTAAGCGTGTCTGACGCTCACCGTGGATGTTGCCGTGCTGGATGTCGATGGCCTTTGTTGCCTGCTCGTCAGCTGCGGACAGAGCGTTGTGGACGGGGGAGAAGACCTCCAGGACACCTTTGGTCAGGCTGGGCTCAAACATCATGCTGCGACTCCGCACGCTCACATTCTCACAACCTGGGTACAGGTTGGAAATGCTCACTGATACTAAACACAGAAAAAATACACATGAATGTACTGAGGAAACTTAACCAGTGTCCCCAGCAGGGTCAGATTTACAGAACTTTACAATATATTTCGATGACATTTGCCTTTTTTAAAGAAGAATTTGGCACCAGGAGCAGCACATTTGATGCATCACACATGAGGAGTGCCTAAATATTATTTAACGCTTTCGAAAAGCCAGAAGCAGGTTTCTTTCAGAGGAATTTTCACCCAAATGAACAAAGCACGTCTATATCCTCCTGAGACCCTGCGTCCTCATATGAGGACATCACAGTCTGGGTTTGTGCACCATATACTTCATTTGACTTAACTCAGACCTCTTGTCCTCCTTCGTGAACACTTTTTTGTGCCATCTAGTGGTAGTAAGAGCACAATACACTAATCTCATGGATAAACAAGCTGGCTGCCATCTCAAAGTCCAAAACCTGATCACATTTTACAGCTGAAACTTTTTTATTTATTTATGATTAGTAATGTTTGATATGGCAACAGTAACAAGCTTTTATAATCGTCTCATTTGAGGACACTGGGACTTTGTTATCGTCTTATTTGAGGACGTTGGGACCAATTAGGAGCGACAGACTGTTCCTACAGACAAAAAGACATTCCTGGCTTGGAGTATAGGTCAAGAAAAATTCATGCAGAGTTTATAAATGAACAATTCACAGGACTTTTAGATGTGTTGTTTATTACACACTTGTGACTATTAAGATAAACCCACTGTCCTGATATGAGGACATCTTTTTTTCTCCAAAACTACTTCCTGTCCAAAGACAATGTTTAGTTTTTTAATCCTACTGATCCAAAATAGCTAGGAGACATTAAAATGTATACCAAAAAGAAGCTGAGATCTCAGGAGGATATAACAAAAATGGGAAGATAGCTTCTACTCTATTAACAACATGAGAAAAAAGTTGCTTAGATATTTTTATCAGTTCTGTTAGAGAAAATGTTTCACAAATCTCAGTTGAACTTGTGTTTCTTAATAAACACATTGATGTTGAACTATTTTATACCTTTATTATCAGTACAAAGAACAAACTGAGCTCAAGTCTTCATGACTTCTACTCTGCTGGAGTAATAGACCTGCATCCACCATCTCATTTTTCATCCACTGCCCGCACACTTGCAAACACACGGGGGTGCTATTTTATTGCAAATAAATCCACAATGCAGCATAACATTTGGATTTCATCACACTCTGAAGGACCACACCTACAGTTTGTTTTCTGTGGTAGAAAATGTCTTTTTGGCTGCAGTTTTGTATCAGTTTGAGTCCACACCGCCTCATTCTGACATAGCCTAACCTGTCAGTACACAAAGTTAATACTTTTGGGAAAGTTTTCCGCAGAACTGCTGCAGATTGATTGCGACACCAGATTGTTTTTATGCAGCCAGTGTCTCTTCTCAGTCCTGAGCAATCAGCCAAACACACAGGATAAATGAGAACACATGCTTCAGCTGCTTGAGGGAGGCTTGGTGTTAATGCACGCTGACAAAAGACACACAAAAGCATGTTCAGGGGACAGTGTGTGCCATGACGTTTTTGGCATATTCATCTGATTTGTTGTCTTTTTATGGTGACCACACTGACAATGATACCACACTGCTGAACTGATCACTTCAAAAAACCAAACCAAAAGTTCTCCCGATGAAACTTTTCTTCTTCTCTGATCATTTCAGCTTTCAGAAAATCTCTCCTCTCACTTGTTGTTTCGAGACATCTTTCTACATAAGCAATGAAAAGGGTAAGGCAAATGTTGTGCTACATGAAAAATGGACTTGATATATTGGTTTTCTGGTTTTAATAACAACAGCTGCTGTCAGTTTGGACTTCAGGGATGCAAAGGTGCTCATATGTCTATGTCAACACCTTCTCTCTTCATGACAGGACAAAGCGTCTCACAAGAAAAGCTGATTACAAGAACCTCAAGCTGTATTCACACCCTCTCGTCAATGCTTTACAGATTACTGAAGTGAATGAATAAAAGAGTCCCTCTCAATTAAGTGAAGCATGAACAACCTGAAAAGACAAAAATCAATGCAGAGGGCAGAATACTCTCCCGTCATATTGAGTTTTATGGCCAACAGTGTCATAAAGGTACAAATATTGACACTAGACGAAGGTAAATATGCATTTAACGTGCTACGCTTTGACTTTCGACAGGCTTACAAAATAACAAATCGATGCTTGTGCTAAAAGAAATCCACAAATGAGCCAAATGAACATCATGACGGCCACTTGTTCCCTCTCAGCTCTGCTTCTTTGTGTCTCACTGTGGACTCTTGTCACGTATCGCTGCAGATATAACACACAGTCAATAAAGACCGTTACTGAATTCAGCTGGAATTGAAAGAAGGAGGAGAGGAATAAAAAAAAAAGAAAGAAACTCTTTCAACCTCTCTGTGGTTCTGACAGAGGCTGCAGATTTCCAGATAGTACAGAGGATGGGATCGGTAACAGTATACGGCTCACGTAACTGACCATTATCAGAGCGAGCATCACGTCTGTCTGGGAGGTAATGGCTCAGAGCGGCGCAAAATAGAGCGCTTAAAGGAAGCATAATGGCATGTGTGTGTGTGAGGGAGGGTAGATAGAGTGCAAATACAGAGAGACTGGAGACAAAGTACGTGTGTTTTTTACACTACACTGAACATATTAGGGAGTCTTACCACAGACCTGCAGGACTGACCTCCACAAAAAAAGCTTTTCTGAGGACCAGGAGCAGAAAAGAAGGAACAACTGTTTTTACTTCTAGATTCCAGTTTGGGTTCACTGGAGTAATGGAGTTAACACTGGGTTGGCTGCTAAAATCAACAAGGGTGAGAAGCAGGTCGATGTTTTCAGTTTGATCGTGTGGACTTGTGTGATGTGGAACCTTTTTCTGTGATAACAGCATCTTTGTTTGTAGAAAAATGAGACATCCTGGTGAAAGTGGGTGTTTTCTATGTTTTCCTCTCAGCCCATTGATCTCAGTGCCCCTGGGTCAGATCTGTGAAAGGGGAGAGGTGTGGTACTGGTGTGCATTCATGTCATCCACCCTGCCTTTTTGGGTTCTCTCAATCAAAAACATCTGATTTTGTTCACAAAATGCTTCTCAGCTGAATTTCAAGGCCATGTACTGCATCACTATTTGTTGTGCATGTATATGTAATATTGTGATATAAATATAAACTTAGCAATAAAAGATTTAATTCACATCGCCCAGCCCTTCTCCAAACCAAACAGGCTGCTGGCATTCTGGCTCATTTTCCTGCACTGCCCTGCTTTTTACACAACAGAGCATCCATCATCCAGAGAGAGGAGCCTGATGCTCAGGCACTTTGACAGAAGCTGTATAAGGAGAAATAAAGTAATTATCAACACTAGCATGCAGATTTTTCCAGGCTGATGCTTGTGAAATTCGTCTTTGGTGGATAAATACACAGTTAAAAACAATGCCTCTTAACGTAAGTCTTTCTTACTTGAGGATAAGTTGAAGAATATTTGCAGTTAATTTCATCTAGCGCCTGATTTTTGAAGCTTTGCCCATTGTTTCTACTGCTTATGTTAACAGTGTACTCAACAACATGCCCAATCTGTAATCTTTTTCAATTTTAGCACTGAACTTTGTGCGTTAAATGTAAAAATAACCAACAGCACCGACAGTCAAACTTAACAAAAATAGGAAACCAAGTTGTGGTAAACTGGAGCTATTGTTTTCATGCTTCAAAATCTCTTGAAAATGTCTGAAAAGGGGAACAAGCACTAAATGAACACTGTTCCTAAGCACTGAATAAAATGGTGAATTAATTATTCTGGCCTGTTTTGGCAGAAGAACTCATTCTGTTCCTTGGCAGGTGAAGGCTTAATCTTGTGAGGGATTACCTCAGCTTCACCGGAGCCGTCTGTCACCTACCAGCAGGTTTGGAGTTGACGGGGGAGTTGGGGTGGCGGGTTGTGTTGGTCATGCGTGTCCTCTTCCTCCTGAAGAAGCTGCGCAGGATGCCACATTTCAGAGACTCCAGCAGGGTGCTCTTCCCGGCTCCGGGGTGTCCGAACAGCTTCAGCTTGATTCTAGGCTGGACGGTCTGAGTGGGCCGCAGCTGCTGGATGTAGCTCAGTTTGTGGTTGTCCTGACCCCCCAAAAAATACCACAGAAAAAGAAAAGGATTAATTGAAAACCACTAACAGGTCAGGTCACACTGAGACAGATGTTTATCTACTGTATGACACAGACTCCCACATGTTTTCACCTCAAGGAGCCCCAAAACTCAGAAGTCTGACGTCCATTTATCAGACTTTGCTCCACATACTGTATCTTCTCTTTGAGAGAAACACCAGACACAGAGGCACCTGCAGAACACCTTGTATTTCATGTTGTACACATGTCAACCAACAACTGAGGAAACAGCTGTGTGAGGTTTGCAAACAGTTTCACTTTTCCCTGTGCACCAAGGACTAATAAAAACAGACTTCAGATGACTAATACCCTTTTTCCATTGGCACTCTCGGCCGTGCCGTGTAATGCCATGCTGCGCTGATTTGTGTTTCCTTTGTCAAGTTTAGACGCGCCATACCAAGCTGCGCTGGAGATGGACCTACTCTTGAGTAGGGATGGGCAACAATTTTCGATTATCAATGATTGATTGTTAAGGATTTTGATCAATCACAAATAATTTTACTAGATAGTCGCAGCGTTTCCCCTACAATGCTACAGGCCCGGCGAGCCGCTGTGCCTAAGAGACCCCCGTCGGACCTATGCCAGGCAAAAAATCATAAACAGACGGAGGCTCTCATTGCTCTCCAAAGCCTCAGCAGCTTCCCTTGAGGCCTCTGAAAACACTACGCCATTGAAAGACGGAGGTTTCACTGAAAACTGAAGCCTGTAACCCCTGGCTGGCAACGGTTGCATGCGTGCCATTCTTCCTCTTTGGCCTGGGGGGTTGAAGCTCTGCGCTTTCTTGCGGTGACAGTCTGCACTGCACTCTTTTGTTTTCTTTCTTTTGAAATACTCGCTTATCAATTAATCGCTAATTGATCGTTAATTTTTTTGATGATCGAATAATGAATTTTGATCGTTTGCCCATCCCTACTCCTGAGAAGGAGCTGCTCGCCCTCAACTGGTAGTGGTGACACCTCGCCAACTGCAGCCAACCCCCCATTGACCCCTACAGAGTTTCACTTGATACTACAGACTACTAAAACTGCAGTCAGCCTGTCCAATATAAGTGAAAATGTCCAAAACCAAAAAAAGTTAACTTTTTTTGCTAAAAAGTTTTAATACCTAAGAAATAAAATGCCTTATGGGTGAAATACATGGCACATGTACGTAGCCTGACACATCTGCCGCAGCATGCCCACAGCAGAGTGCGTCCATTATAATCAACTGAAGCTGCTAGGCTGACCAAGGAATCCCGCAGCTCACGCCTGCGCGGGCATCACATGGCTCTTCTTGGCTCTTATGTAGCTGGTCTATTTTTTTAATCTCAGGTTGTCACCACAACCTTTAAATGGATTAAAAAAAAACCTTGAATTGTTGGAAAAGCAAGTGCATTATGTTTAAAAATGTTTAAAAGTGGGCGGGAAAATTGGATGGTGTACATTAAACCCGTTCATTCTGCGTTTGTTTTTTCCCCTCCCAAATATTTTTATTGAAAAAATACAATACAATACAATACTTCCAATCACAGAAATACAATTTACCTTTTCCTTTCTTTTTTTAAGAACATATATGCATATGTACACAGTCACATAATAATTAAATTAAATTACAGAATACAGTGTCGTTCTTCGTTTGTTTAAGGTGAACTTATGTCCTTTTGAGTTATGTCCTTTTGAGTTATTTTATTTAAAAGTGATTTTTTAATCCTTGTTTGTAAAGTGATTAGAGTATCATGAAGACAAGCCCCAACACTCTGGTTCATATATGGAGTTCAGTTTCTATTTTGTATTAGTTTCTCTATGTTCATACCTATATTTACATTTACTTTATTGGTCCATTTTGGCTCCTGTACTACACACTGTAACACAATTTTATGTTACTTTCTGCTGTAACTGTGTCCTACAGAAGGCCTGCTTTGAGTATGATGAAGCTGTCTGACTGGACCCTGTCTAACTAAACAAAAAGAGAAAATGCAGCAGAGCAACCTTGTGTTTTTACATCTTACATTAAAAAAAATCAGTGCATCCTGAAGTTAAAACAATCCAGTTGATTAAATCAGCAGCTTACATTTCCAAACCCTGCATAACCAACAGCATCATCACTTGGCAAAACTCAGTACTGTGCACAGTGAAGCTGGCAGCAACCACACGCTGCAGAGACGAACAGCAGGTAAAATAAACCCGCTCCGCTCTGTCTGCGTGACGTGTCACATTGATACCCTGTGTGTTTTGGCTGTAAGTGTATAGACATGCTCTTTTCAAGTCTACATCTGATGCACATGAACATAGATCTTTACTGTCTCCCCACATGCACACATTCTTTGTACCTTATACTTCATTCTGTGAACTTTTGCACATCCTGCACACAACTGTACAGCTTTAGGGAAAGGAGCAATATGTAAGTGGATGTGGCTCCGTCTGTTATTTGTTATGGTTGTTATATAGTTGAACAGGGCAGCCATAATGTGTGTTGTGTGTAAATCATCGTCACAAGGAATTATCTTTGTTTTCTTTACATTTCAATTTTATTTTGGGGTCGATCCTCTTAATATTATCGGGATCCACCCACTTAATCTGTGTAAAAAAAAAACAGGCACGCTGTAAATTCAGATTTATAAACAACACAAGCCACGCTCTGTAATTCTGACAATTCCACAGGTAACATTTGTTAACATCAAAGACACTTTTTAACTAACCAATAGATGAGTCACGAATCAGAAGTGGCTTCAAATGCTGTGAGTGGTTTGCGTGGGATGTGAAAATCACTCCCCACTCCCACCTGGGTCATGTGAACACACTGAATACACAAAGTTTGTAATTTCAGTGTGATTCACATCAGAGCAGAATACAACTTACTGACATTTTCTCTTTCAAAGTTTGAGGGACGGGACTGTGTTTTTTCGTTCTTTCTGGGTTTCTGGGAAGTCAAAAACTGGCATCAATGTGCCACAGAGTCTTAAATTAGACCCAGCATATGCAGAGGATGACTGTTTTCACAGTTGCTGCTGTCATGTTTTCACGCCCTGCACTCAATCTCAGCAGGTTTTCTGGAAAAATACATCAGAGGAGAGGCTGGTGACGTTTAGCTTGAGGTGATGTGGTGGATGTGACTCAAGTCAGACTGGGAACACTGGACTGAACTCCCTGTACACCTCTGGAGCAGTTTAGACAAGCTGAACGTCATGTAACAAGAAGGTTTGAGTCCTGTCATGCTAGATACCGTGTAAATTATAATCTATTCTAACTCTGTGCTGAGTGAAGTGCTTCCGCAAAGTGTCTAAAAATGGTGGGATGCTAAAATCTAACACCTTCCTGTTGCAGACATCTCCCTCCACACCTCTGCAACTGAAATAGACCAAGTGTGAGGAGTGCTTGTGAAACCTGCTTTTGCATCATACAGATTCTTCCCCCAACATTACATTTAAACAATGAAACTATGGGCTCAGGTGTGTCGTATTTTACCTTTTTAAGCTTTCCCAACAAAGAAACAATGAGTTAGTGTTGATCAGCGTGAGCCAAATCCTCTGCTGTCTTCCCATCCTGAGAGAGAGGAGAGAAAGACAGGGATAAATACATGCATGAGAAATCAGACAGATAATCCCTTGCAGTTTGGTTTGTTGACGCTCAAGTGTTTCTAATACACATTTTGGTTGACATTTTGTTTAGGAAGGAGTTTTTTAGTCTCGTCATTTAGAAAAAGGAAACATATTTACTGGATACACAGTCTGTTAGCACAACGAACACACTGTCAGGAAAAATGATGACGTTTGTTCATTATTCAAACATCTAATTTTTTGAGGCAAAACCAAACACAGTTTTGACAATATTATGGTTCAAGCAGATCGAGCATCATGTAAGCTTTACAAGAGAAGACAGTTTATTTTTCCAAGCGATAACCCGAAAAAGGTCAGACTGACTGCTCTGGCGATCTTTTCAGTCCTCCATTTTTAGCCACTACTGTTGTAGAACAGGAGCATTGTTTCCTGTGCTACAGTACCTTGATATTTTGTACAGGATTTCATAAAACGATAATCTAATAGTAACATTACAGAACTGACCTTTAATCAGGGTTTAGCGGGAATTACAGGGAGCTCTAAAACAGTGGTTCCCAACTGGCATATCCCAGTCCAAAAGGGGGTCGCGAATGGACCTCAAGTGGCTCACAAACGTGTCGAGTTTGTGTTTGCACAGTGATTTTATTTTGAAGTGCCGTTTCCTGCTGTCAAGTCAGTGACTAACAGACAGCTACTGAACAGAGACAGCAAACTGGCTTGGTGGCACGGCCAAACGCAAGTATGACACTGAAGATATTAAACTGTGTGGACCTTGAACTCATGACAAACAAGAAGGAAGTCGTTGGGAACCACTGCTCCTAAATATCGTAAGTGTTGTATATTTTCCTGTGTATTTAGGTTCCTGAGATAAATATTAAGAGCGTGTCCTGTGCATGTTTATTCATGCATAACAATTTATGGTAATTTCTGTCTAATACACACAATGATGTCTGTTCCTGTGATGGCTATCACTGCAAAACACTGCAACTGATAGTATATTACTGCATGTAGGCAGGTGAATTCATGTATGAGCATGCATGTGTACAGTTTCCTCTCACCCCTGAAAAATACAGCTCTCCCTAAAGTCACAGTGCAGTTTGAACACTACCTTTAATAACATCACACCATTTTTTTAATGCCCAGTTATGATTACCCTTTTTTTTTTTAAATCCTCCGCTCAATAGGAGCTGTACACTTCTCATTGTTGGACTCATGATGAGTTTAAAAAAGGGATAAAAATCAAGGCAGCAGCAACAGAGATATCTTTTTTCCCCCATACATTCTCCTTACTTGTCAAAACACCTTCATTACCCACAATGCAACACAACCACCCACATTTAAGTCACAGATTTGGATGCTAGCAGCAGCTAATGTAGCCTGGAGCTGTTGAGAAGCTGGTGACAGAGGTCTGGTAACTCACTTCTTCCCAACCTCAGACCCTCCTGACAGCCTCCTTTTTGATTGCAAATTTGTAGTCTTCAGCCCCAACGTTCGGTGACTCAAATGACATCACTTGAGGCAAACTGTCACACTTCAAACACTCCTTGTGAAGCCACCACAGGCTTTATACTACTTTTTTTTCCCCTCTCATATGCAGTCGACTTTAATGTGTATAATCAGTGGGGTTTCTCTTTGAGCACTAAAACTCTCACAGTTATTTTCCAGTAGATTAACTACAGCTGTAGAGTCTGTACAGCACACACACACACACACACACACACACACACACACACACACACACAGAGTACGTGCACTCACTTTTTCATCCTCCGTCCAGCTCTACAACTGCCCTGATTTGTTACTCTCTCTCTGTTTTCCCTTCAACACATTGACACAGAAACACCACAGTCCTGACAAGTTTCACGTCTCTTTCAGTAACTCAGCCATCTGTCACTGTCCGACTCTGGCTGCTGCTCCACTGGGAAAAGCTGCATCGACAGCCTGGAACGCCCACAGAGCGCCTCCTACTTCTGCAGACCATGACGACAAAGGCCAGTCAACTGGGTTTGTTATAAGACACTGAGAATCAATAAAGATTAATAACTGTAGACATTTTCTAGCTTTATCCTCTTCTTAGATTTTGTATTTCTTTGACAAGGTCTCATAATACTATAAAAGCACGAGAACACTGACCTTTAAGTTGCCTAGATCAGCTAAATGTCAGAGGTGTAAATGAAGTGCAGTTTGGACCAAAAGCTGACCGCTTAGTGTGATTTACATGTGAGTAATTTACGGGACTCGCTCTCACAGATGGCAGGCTGTTACAACCATTACTATCACTGCTTGGCAACTGGCAGATGAAGGCTGGTGTTACGTTAACCCCAGAATATTAGATCAACTATAGTATCTCTGCTTTAGATTAAATATCTGTCGTCTGAGAGTGTTTGTGTTGGAGCAGAGCAGCAGAGGAAACTAAAGAGAGGAATGATCACACACAAAAGAGGCTCTAATTTAAGCTCTTCTGCAGGCTGACCCGACTGAGCCACACATGTATTGTTTCTTTAGGCGTCCAATGACATGTTAAAGCAAAGCAAACGAGCTTCCTGTGTGCTCCCTCAGCTGCTCCACAACAAACCACTGACCAGCGACCACTGGATGATGAATTATACATCTCAATATGTGCTTTTGTCAGATTAAACATGCATGGCACATCAGCTGTCATACAATATTAACAGCGAGAGAATGCAGAGAGAGAAAGAAACCTCAGTGTGAGACATCTGGCAGTGGAGAAACACCTTCTGATATCTGATTTCCTGACTTAAAGTGAGTGAAAAAAGATATTTAGTCACCAGATCAGAGTTAAATAATGCCTTAACCACAATTAAGTGGGAAAGAAATCAAGGTGGAGACAGGAGGAAACAACACCACGCTTTGGTCTCTTCCTATTACAGGAATATTAAAGCAAAATTTGGGTAAAAATGGACTGCAGAGAAGTCTGTTAAAAAGACTACTCAAGATTGACCATATTTCTATGTACGATGTGCAGTGTGCAGATTCTGCATGATTATGATGAGTAAATTTAAAGGAAAGATAATGTTACAGGTGAAGAAGAGGGCAACTTCATGATAGACAAATATAAAAAAACATACAAAACACGTCTACAGTCTAAAAACCAAATAAATTTAGTTCCAGACACAACTGCTGGTTAATCCAATCTGACTTTTTCTCTCTTAAAACCAATTCTGATACCTTAAGTCAGGGTACATTCAAATACAGATTATCTTAAATCAGTCTGATATAGATGCTCTCTTTTGTCCTGCAGTTTATTCAAAATCAGTGTGAAAATTGTCAAAAATAAACATCACAAATTCCCTAAATCGCCGTTTATATATTCAAATGTGGTACATTATCCAACCAACAAGCTAAAACCCAAAGATATTTAATTTGTTGTCATATAACAACAAACAAAAGCATCAAATAGTCAAATGTGAAAAACTAAAAAACCATTGAAATGTTAATTTTTGCTTGAAAAATGCAAAAAGTATTAATCAGTTATCCAAATATTTCACATCACAGAACCATTTTTCTGTAAAGTAACATGAGCTTTGCTGTAGCAGTAAAATCAGTAACCTACTGTGATCAAATGAATGTAACTGCATATTCACGGACTTTCATTTAGACACTGACAAAGAAACTGAATGTGAAATATGTGTAGACTAGTCACCACATCAGCTAAATACGGTCAGTATCAGTGTAAGATAAAATTCCTCTACTTGTGGGGAAAAACAATGTATTTGCTCTTTTAATGTGGGTAAAATGAAGTCATGATGTGGGGCTGCAGATTCTAAAAAGCCTCGAGAAATATCAGCTGACAGATGTTCAATTCTCAAGGAGCATGGCAGCGAAAATAATGTTTTTTTATGTAGCATCGAAAAACCATTGGACATGAACCTCCCGTTTCCGAGGTCAAACACACTCGTATCCAGACGAAATAAGTGAATCTGGTCTCTGACTCCTCGCACTGACTCTGCTCTCCATTTGATCCTCAACAGTTTGATAAAAGCTCTTATAGCCTGCGGCTGTCGCCACCCTCAGCACCTTAGCTGCTGTTCAGACTCTGCAGAAACAACTCAATGAAATCATGACACCTGAGTGTTTTCTTTAAGACTCCTCTCTGCACGAACACTCACTTGTTTTTTATAACTGTATTTACGACTTCATTGTATATTATGATAAAGACCACGTGAGCCTGAGCGTTTTGGTGTTTGAGTTTGAGCGATCTGTGTGAAACTGGGTGAACATAATCTAGGGACCAATATCTAAAGTTCCCTCTTGGCAAAAGTTGGAAAACTTACTAAAACTGAGCTTCTATAAGGCAATGAATATTGCGGAGGGCGTGGCTCATCACATAAAGGTGTATAACATCTCAAGGGTTTCACCCATCACCACGCAACTTACTAAACTTGGTAGATATGTAGAACAGAACGCCTCAAGGTGACTGGAGAAATTTAACTATAATTGGCAACTGGGTGGCACTATAACAACAGAAAAATGCTTAAAAATGTCTAAAATGCGACTGATCGCTGTGGCTCCCCCTGTGGACCAATGTTGTTGTTTTTTTCTTCTAATTTTTGGTATGACTAAGTCATGGTATGGTATGCTGTACATAGTGGATATGGACTAATATATGTTTGTAATTTTGGTCACGCTTTCGTTTACAAGGTTCACCATTCCTTAATCACTGCCTCATTATTTTCTGGAAATAATTGTGTAATTTGGTACAAATCATGAGGGGAAAAGACTCAACACCTCTCATTAATTCATTCAAATGTATTGCCAGAAGAGTCTTTTAATCAGCGCACAGCAGGTTGAATGTGTAAAAATGTGACACTGCAACCATAAAGTTCTGCATAACTGCAAAATAAAGTCCACAAAAATAAATGAACAATAAATTCATATTCACTTACACTTAAATCAGGCAGTTCATTTAAGGAGATTCCTCTGGAAATCAACAAACACTTAACCAAACTCAAATAACTGTCTCAAAACTCTTTTCTTTGACATACAGTTTGTGGCAAGTTATATATAAATTTTTCAAGCAACATCTTAGGAGATTATTCGGAAATAATCAGAAAACAAAACTGTATTTTTTTATCATACGACAAACCTGCAATGCTTTCCCTTTAATGTCTGATTTGAAGTTTTGTGATTTGTAACTGTTTGCGTTTTATTTCCTTTTCTGTTTTTGCCTTTTTCTTAGCTTTGAACATCTTTTAATTATTGTAATGTTATTATTGTCTTATTTTCATGCAGTTTGTGAAGCCCCTTGTAACCTTGTTTACCTTGTTTAAGTGCTATACAAATAAAAATGCTAGTATTATACTATTACTATAACTTTGTTATATTGATAATTAACCCTCTGGTCGTCAGACTGGTAACATAAAAAAAAAGTCGACGTCTGCTTATGATGTATACCCGCAGCTGAGCTTGTCGCATTTTCCCTGCCCCACTCTTCATTTGACTTCCTCTGAACGCTGAGTTTTCATCTGGACCATCCACTCCAAAAGTTCTCTTGAATGCTTCTTACTGCCATAGCTTCCACCATACTCCTAGCTGCTGCTCTGTCGCTATGATTTTTCCCTTCTTTCCGCTCCCTTTTGTTCTGACCGGTTGATGTAAAACGCATCACTTCCTGTGTGACAGTGCTGCAAAGCTGCCAGACACCACAACTCCAGTATACTACAAAATATAGAAAGCTTTCCCTGGTGGCAATAGACTTAATCAGCATTGTGTGAACTTGTTTGGCGAGGGCTTGAACATAACAGACCTTCATTTACACATAAAAGTCCCAAACTGCAGCTTTAAGTTACGATTTATTAATATTTAATTGATAAATAAATTTCTCTCCAATTTTTTCTTTTCATAATCAGATTTTATGGGTATTTAATTCACAATTGAACATTTACTGTAGATGTTTTAAGCTTAAATATTTTTAGGCTGCTTTCTTTTCCCCTTTAATGTATAAATCCGGACTGTACTGACATTTGCATGTTACTCATCTCAGCTCTGTTCAGCTTTGAGATCTTTAAGTTTCGAAAGATGCCAGATATGCTCGGCTGAGTGACACAATAATGTGTATAAAACAATAAACACATTTCTTTTTATAGGATGTCATGGTGTAGCTTTATAACATCTTGGATATGAATATTTTGGACACTCGCTGTGCTGTAAGGAAAGAACTGCTTTGTCAAAACTTTGAAGCTACTTAAAGGCAAATTTAAGGCGAGTACCAGAGTTCAAGAGGTTAAATCAATTTTAATAATATAAAGGAGGAAACACATTAAGACTTTAAAGCTTTAAACCCACAGAGGCCGACAGAGAAGAAAAGACAGACACTGCAGCTCAGTATCAGGAGGGCAGCACTAATAAAGAATTCCTGCAGATTAAATCCAGTTTGACTTGAGAAAAAAAAAAACAAAACCTGCCATCAGCTTTTCTACTGTTATTAAGGGCAAGAAGTGAACAGCGACGTGCTCTGCAGCTCAAGCAGGAAATTAACAACTCACTGACAAATAAGTCATCACCTGAAGAAATAGAGACAGACGTGTTTTTTGTGTTCATATGAGCTGTGTCATGTCTGTTGCTCATCCATTACACTCAGCCAAGGCAGGAGATGTCAGGAAATACATATGATAAAATCTGTCATGGTGGTAAATCCTCTCTACATACTAATGCATTCAGCTCTACTGACAGCAGCAGTGTTCATATATGAAGCAGTTTGTGCTCTATAATCAATCCAAATGTCAAAATGCTGCAATATTTTACTGAAATGTTGAAGAATTGCTCTCACAGTTTCCTGCAGTGCTTGAGATGAATTCTTCTCATGATGCATTAAGACACGTTAAACTACAGTAGAAGGAAGCAGTGAAAGAAAGAAGCTGTGTGATGACTTACGTTGGTGACAGCATCGATGTTAGCTCCAGCCAGACAGAGATGACGGACAACCTCAAGGCTCCCGTTGTTGGCAGCCAGGTGGAGGGGAGTTCTGCCATACTGGAGAAAGACAGAAAAATATACAGTTTTTTAAATCTTTGGGGGTCACTTAGCATATCAAAACCGAAAATAACAGGATAATGATCACACAGGAGGAGAACTGGCTGGGTGAAGAACGTCTGGTCCACCTTTAAGGCACGATATACTGTATTCCAAAATGGCTGCAAAAGGCCAGGTTATACTGTCTGAATCCACATGGATTTTGTCATCTGCCCATGGCCGTAAAAGGTCCGTACAAAGGATCCTCAAAGACGTGACTATGTTGACGTGGGCAGTATAATTTCGGCTTGTATCTGGCCCTGAACATGGACACACAGCTCTGTTTATAGTTTGAGTACTTTGCTGTATCGTGACTATTTCCTGTGCACTGAAATTACTCACAATCTGCTGGTACTTCTCCTGCCCTCTCCATATCAAGTTCTCTGGGAGGTTCATAACAGCACTAAATAGACTGCATTACCCAGGGGGCATCGGGGGCACTAGGTGACGCTCACCTGTTCGCGTTCTTGCCTGCCTGCAGCTTGTCTAAGTAATGTTATATTGCGATGATGTGGGCCTGGCTCCGAAAGGGCAACATGAAGAGAAGACGGACAGAGTCAGATGGTGACACAACAGAGCTTCGAAAGTAAATTATGGCGTTAACTAAACGTAGGCCGGGAGAAGCAAGCTGTCTAGCAGCAAAGAACCTATTGATGTAAAGACAGCATCAGCTTAAACAACCTGCAGCTACTGCCATCACTAGAGATGAGAAACCCAGTTCATCGTTCACCCACTGTTGGTGACGAACTCATGAAACGTCTCTTGGTTTTGGCCTTTATTTCATAGGACAGCCGTGGGTTGGAATCGAGCCCGCTGCAACAAGGACACAGCCTTTATATATGGGCCACCTGCTCTACCAGGTGAGCTTATGGTCGCCCCAGCTCTTGGTTCTTTTGCTTCGCAGACAGTACCCCTCACACTCCCTGACAGATGTGTTCATGTTTGATCAATTTTGATCAATGAAACTGCCCGTAAAAGGATGTGTTATCAAGGCTCTGATGAGGGTATGAACAAATATTGAGAGCAATCACAAACAGTGTATGAGAGCGGTGCTACAGTTTATAGACCTGGTAGAGTGATAACACACTAAACATGGTCATAAAACAGACTAGAAAAACAACTTTATGTGTTCTAAGTGGCTGAGTGTGAACATCTGCTACATGAAAAATTATATGAAGGTGACTGGCTGCGGCGAAACAGGAAATGCTTGCTTAAATTTGTCTGGGAGGCGAAGTGAATATCTGCAGGACAGATATGAAATAAGAGCATAGCTTTATGTAACCTGCTGCCACTGTGATGTGGACAACAGCAACATAAACAGTTAAATGGACAATTATAGTTTTCAAATATATCAAAACAGTAATGTAATGGGTGCCCAGTAGCTCAGTGGGTTGAGCAGGCACTACATGTACAAAGGTGACATCCTTGCCACAGCGGCTGCAGGTTCAATTGCAAGCTCTCCAGCTCCTCCTGGGGGACCCGAGGCATTCCCAGGCCGGAACAGATATGTAATCCCTCCAGTGTGTTCTGGGTCTGCCCCAGGACCTCCTACCAACTCAACTCAGCACCCACATGGTCGTTGCAGGTCCTGCCTTGGTTGCCTTGCCTCTGTATGACTGGTAGAAAAGGAGCTCGGGTGGGGTTTAGAAAAATAAAACTGGTAATCAAAGCAGGAGCACCATGTTGTGTTTACAGCTCCCTCTGTAGTTACCATAATGACAGTGATAATCTCTAACCATCACTGCTTTTCACCACAGTACCTACAGAGTAAACCCCAAATACTCCTGCAAAAGTTTTCTGTGCCTGAAAATAAAAGACAAGCTTTGGAAATATCAATACCCACTACAAAATGAACTTGTTTGAAAGCAGCATTTCAATCAATTCCCTTTTGTCACAACTTGAAACAACAAGGAGGCATTCATCCTGTTTCATTCTGCTGTAAACAGAACTGGAGACGTTTTCAATTCCATCCTCCTCATTTTTCTCCCCAGTGTCTGCAGCTGACAGCGAACACAAATCCAGGCACAGACTCAGCAACGTGTGATATGCTGCTTTAGATAAGCTTTAAAAAAAAAAACATAAACAAAAAAAAAAAACAAGCAGAAACTGAAAATAATGAATAAATCAAAACATCTCCGGCAGCGCTGTCTGCTCCTGATACACATCACTTCCCTGAACTACCCTGGGAAAAAATGTTTCCAGCGTCGGAGAGAAGCAATCCCATCGCAGAATACATTAAAATGGATGGCGTCGAAATAGAAAGTGAAAAGGCAGGAACATGTGTGGGAAGTCGTGCCTGGCAGCGAGGCAAAGCAAGATGGGATCAACCTGGCATGTGAGAGCTCCCTTAAAGGACCAGTTCACCCAAATAAGAAACAAAAAGCTGCTTAGTGAGCAGATACCAGAATAAAGACTGTTTTTAAGGCCAAATAATGCTCTCAGATTTTCAACGTCAGCTCAAATGAGTCCTGAATTTCAATTACTACCACTATCAATAGATGTGGATTAAATATTTTTACCAGTAATATACTGAATGCCAGATAAATGAGCCCAGTCAAGATTAGATTGGATCACACAGCAAAAATCCTGAGGCTGCATGTATTTACACTTAGAGAAATCCCTTTAATCCCTTTAATATGTTTGCCCTCTATGTTTATTTATCCCTCTGTTTGGCCTGTGATCAGCTCTAGCCTGGGTGGAACAGCTAACACAACCTGGTCAAAAGTCTGTGGACACTGAAGCCATGTGTGACTGTTAAAACATCTCATTCCTGAACCATGGACATTAATCTGCAGCTGTAACAGCCTCCACGTTTTTGGGAAGGCTTTCCACCAGATGTTCTCTACCATTCATACACAAGAGCATTAGTGAGGTCCAACACTAGCTATGGTTACATGGACAGTATTTCTTTAACCCGACTGAAATCATTCTGATTAGAGATTTGAACTTCACTGTTTACACAAGGGCCGCCCCCTGAAAGTCGACTAAACGTTAGTCAACCAGAAAGGTCATTAGTCGGCAAGATTTCATTGGTCGCTTATTTGCAGAAAGAAAAAAAAAAATCTATTAGGAGCTGTGCCTTGTCAAAATAAATCAAAACCTATATGACTGGACCATGTGGGAATTTATTTTGAAAGGACAGACACAGGAAGTGGCCATGCTCAGCAGTCAGACAGGAGTCAGGTTAATTTCCAGGGCTGGTACCTGCGGTTATTCCACAGGCTAGTTAATAACATGTCGGGCAGGAAATCCAAAGTGTGGGATCATTTTGAGAAGGTGAAGGACGAACCCAAGGTGATATGTAAACTCATCTTCATTGGTCGACTACAAACATGACGTATCATCTGAAACATGGAAGTAGCTACATGCCCATTAGCCCACAGCGTCATTAACAGGCGGCTCGCTCAGTGTGTGACGTGCACTTGTAGATAAAATATAGGCCTATATTAATGAAGGTTCATTAGTACGGTTTTGTATTTCTCTGTAATGTAGCACAGTGTTAACAATGTTACTGATACTATTCTTTCTCACACCTTCAACTCAAACCACCAAAATATATCATTTAATCATTACATTAATATCATAAACATGCAGGTGACTAGTCGACTAATGACCCTAAATGATGACTATTGGTCGACTAGGGAAATTCTTAGTCGGTGGCCACTTATTCGCTTATGCAGGGCCAGGTTGCAGGGGCAGGGGGTCAAGCAAAGCACCCCAGCAATGCTTTCCAGCTCCTCCTGGGGGACCCCAAGGCGTTCCCAGGCCAGATGAGATATGTAATCCCTCCAGTATGTCCTGGGTGTGCCCCGGGGCCCTCTACCAGTGGGACATGCCCGGAACACCTCTAATGGGAAGCGGCGAGGAGGCATAATATTTTCCTACTGAACATATTATTAAGGGCTTACGCCACCCCTCTCAACCCGACTGAGATCAACCCGACTTCTGATCAAGCCAGATCAGGCCAGTGTCCTCTGACTGAAGTGGTTCCATGAGGCATTTTTGTTTGATTGAACTGTGTGACAGTTCTGGAAGCCTAACTGGTGCGTTGGGCAGTGGTTTGCTTACCTTGTTGGGGAGGTCCAGGCTGGCCTTGGCATTACAGATTGCTGTGACGACGGGCAGGTTTCCGTCCTTACAGGCAATGTGCAGCGGTGTGTTGCCATGGCGATCCTGCTGGTCCAGGTGGCAGTGGTGTCTGAGGAGGCAGCGGACCACTTCAATCTGACACCTCCGCACAGCCAGGTGAAGGGCTGTGTGGCCGTCCTGGAGAGCGACACACACACACAGACACAGACACACAATGTAAATCCTCTAATCTCACATTATTGTATGTTGCTAACAGCAGGGTAAGTGCGCTTACTCTTTTATTGGTTTTGTTTAAGGTGCATCATGAGAGACTGACATTTAATCTGAAGGTCAAACTGTACTCATTTCATGTATGGTGTTTTAAAATACAGATTTGGGTGCTTTAGATGGCACACAGGAGCTTGCTTTGTCATTAAAAACCTGTATATTCTTTTGAAAAGTGAAGAGTCAGACGAAAATGATATTATGCAAACAAAAGTGTGACTGAGCTGAAGTGTTCAGATCTGATTACCTTGTCAGTCGCCTCCACATCGGCCTTGTGCTCCACGAGGCACTCCACAATGTCCACAAAGCCTCGAGCAGACGCTGTCAGCAGCGGACTCTCCCCCTCACGGTTCTTTGCGTCCACATGGCAGCCAGCCTGGCAGAGCGCTCTGGCTACTGGCGAGTATCCATGCCATGCAGCGCAATGCAGAGGGGTCTCCTGCTCCTGGAGATGGAGATGTAGAATGCAAAAGAATAAAAACCTTTGGACCTCTAAAAACCCGAGAACATTTTGCTGTATGTGAATGTTTGCATGTGCTTACCCTGTCAGCCAGGTCTGGGTTGGCTCGGATGCTGCACAGGTAGCTCACCACATCCACGTTGCCATAGCGAGCCGCCACATGAAGAGCAGTTTCCCCAGACTAGAGGCCACAACAAAGACTCAACATTAACAAATCATCAGCAATAAAAGTATCCATCAAGGTGCTTATGTCAACCACAACTTATAATAAAATAACAGGATGTCTTTACAGTTTTTACGATAATCACTTCCATAACTGAGAACTATTTTGAGGCAGTGACATCCAAGGATGTTGCAGTCATCCATAACATCATGCTGTTCAGTCATGCCGTTTCCGCTGAGACAGCCACTTTCCCCAAAACCTCCACTCAAACAAGGCATTCAGATTTTTACTGTCCTGTGTGTGCAGACATTGGACTCGTTAGCAATCGATCCATCAGCTTTAACTTTATGGCTGCCAGTCAGAGGGGAAGCTTGTTAGCAAGGAAGCTGCTTATGTGAAACAACACCCAAGACGCTGTGTTAGCTTGTAGGTGGGAAAGTGAACCGCTCAAAATAGCATCGAACTGATGTTGGAGAAACTTGACAGATCTATTTAATTAGGGGGATTACGTAAAAGCACAGCAGATAGGAGAGGCTGTTAAAAAAGGTGTTGAAAGGTCTTTCCCTTTCTCATAAGACAATTATCTGGTTCCGCTCTGACACCTCAGCTTGTGATTTCAGGGTTATAGAGTAATAAAGTAAGATGAAACTTTAATGTTGCTCTGACAGAAGAGGACACCACCGGCGGGTAGAATGATTGAAGAGATTGGAGAAAATGCTTTTGGGATTTCGTCTGCCCGAGCCTGCTCTGTGATGGAGGCTACACCAGCATCAAAAGCAAACACACACACACACACACACACACACAAAACCCATCGTTCTCAGCAAGACCTGTTTCTATAGCAACAGCAAATAAGCTGATAAAATGCCAGAGTAACTGGTTTCTCCCCAGGTGCTTACTGTGGCGAGTGTGTGTGTGTGTATGTGGGCATTTTCGGAGAATCAAAGTAATGCCCCTCAAGAGGTTGGATGGGTGGGAGTGTGTGAGTAATTGCTAAGAGATAACAGAGTGTGGTGAGTAGTAGTAACTATGTGTGTTTCTGCACATGTGTGTGTGTGCTGGGAGGAAAAGGAGGCGCTTGAGTCACCTTATCTTGAACATCCAGAGGGCATTTCTTTTCATGGAGGAATTTCAGGGTCTCGACGTGGCCGTGTCTCGCTGCGTAGTAGATGGCGTTGGCTCCGCTCTGAAGGTTTCAAGAGAGAAAGAAATTCCAGGATTTATCCCTGACCTTTACTAGAAAATCAAGCTCCCTGGGAATGTGTCTGCAGCCCGATGATATGAACACATCCTCCTAAAATACTGCACACAACATTTTCTGACAAAGAGCTTGAAACTATTTTGAGGATGTGCTCACAGTTAAACCACCAGAGCTGAACTAGCCAGCTTCTTGTTGAATGATTTACAAAACACCAAATGCTTCCAGATGTACAACAGGAAAGAAGTGTAAGAGATTCAGTGAGAGAATTGATCAAACTTGAATGAGGACTATGGTCCAAGTATTCAGGTTTATACTCTACTTCAATAAATGTTCATGTTGTTACCTTTCAAAACAAAACCACAAAAGAAGAATACTTCTCTCCACAGGGCTTGGTGACGTGGTAAAATCAATATTACACCATCAGGGATCAAATATTACACTGACAATGTTGACATGCACGCTGATATCCCACTATTATTCCAAATTTGATACGTGTCATATAAACAGCATATTCCGTTTGGATATTCTGAATTAAACCTTATTCTGAATGGACTTATTTGGACATTGGACATAGGGGGTGGCATGGTTGTATAGTGGCTAGCATTGTTGCCTCACAGCAAGAGGGTTCCTCGTTCAAACCCAAGGTGGGGAAGCCCCTCTGTGTGGAGTTTGCATGTTCTCCCCGTGTCAGCGTGGGTTTCCTCCAGGTGCTCCAGCTTCCTCCCACAGTCCAAAGACATGCAGGTTAATTGGTGACTCTAAATTGTCCGTAGGTGTGAATGTGAGTGTGAATGGTTGTCTGTCTCTATGTGTCAGCCCTGTGATAGTCTGGTGACCTGTCCAGGGTGAACCCTGCCTCTCACCCAGTGTCAGCTGCGATAGGCTCCAGCCCCCCCCGCGATCCCTAACAGGATAAGCAGTTACGGAAAATGACTGAATGAATCTTAGTTTTTTGCTGCAGTTTGCTCCACACAGCCTCCTGCCTGTTTACAGTCACAAAAACCAAGTAGCCAATAGTCTGCAAGGCTGTGGGGTAAAGATACATGCCCAAAAGAAAAGCCCAAATTTCTAGCTGTAGGTAAAAACACACCTATTTTCAAACATCGTGAAAGACTCGGCTGTCAAATGGTCCAAATATCGCAATGTCAAATTTCTCAAGAATGTGGTTTAGGGATTTAAGGCGGAGGCTGTGTTCACACGGTCAAACAAGCCCGCCACTGGTAGAAAAAGTCCTATTTTGATGTAAAGAAGCAAAATGGCATAAGTAGCTCTAGCACTCAATCCATCCAGTTTCATCTGCTTATCTGTGGTTGGGTCACAAGGGGCAGCAAGGCTGAGCAAGGTACTCTAGATCAGTGGTTCTCAACTGGTGGGTCATGATCCAAAAGTGGGTCGCAGGTCCATTCTGAACAGACCACAAGTGACTCGCACATGTGTCATTTGTAAAAAAACAACAACACATATTTTATTCTTATGTGCAGTGAATTTCGGACACAAAGCGCTGTTTCTGCACTCTAGCTCAACGACATGGGTAAACACAAGTATGACACTGAATGTGTTTAACTGTGTGGACCTTGAACTAATGATGAAGGAAAAATCTGGACCCTGTGGCTGGACCAGTTGGGACCACTGCTCTAGACATCCCTCTCCCCAGCAACACCTTCCAGCTCCTCCTGGGGGGTCACATGGCGCTCCAAGGCCAAATGAGATATGTAATCCCTCCAGCATGTTCTGGATCTGCCCCGGGGCCTCCTACCAGTTGGATGCGCCTGGAAAACCTCTAACAGGAAGCGCCCAGGAGGCACCCTGATCACATGTCCCAACCAACTCAACTGGGCTCTTCTGATGCGACGGAGCAGCAGCTCTACTCTGAGCTCCCTCCAGATATCTGAGGCTGAGCTCTATCTTTTGGTCACTACCCAAAGCCATTTTCTTTATTTTGACATGATAAATGACTTGTTGATCAGAGTATGCATGGCTGCATATGAACTGGAATATTAGAGGAATGTTCATTTTACCTGGAAGGAAAGGAAAATTGTCTTTTCGGAAATAAGGGCAAAAACGGAATGTTTGTGCATGTAAGCATAGTCATGGTGGCAAATCACATACAAGAAAGTAAGACAGGTTTTTAGTCAATAAAGTTGGTTGAACTGGTCTGCATTGCAGCCATAGACTGTATGGATATAACTTGAGCTTGTAAGATCGGTTGATCCACAAACAATTAATTGCCAATAATTTAAATAATCAGCAAGTTGTTTCATTTTAAAATAAAAATGCCAAAAAATAAAATAAAATAAACAAAAATATACTTAAAATAATAATAAATAGAAACATAAAACAATAAATAAATGAAAAATAAAAATATTTCATTTGAATATTTGCTGTTTCTCTTTGTCTTCTGCGACAGTAAACTGAAAATCTTTTGGTACATGCTCATTATATCTCAATGGAATTCAACTGAAAGTCAAATGACCATAATATCAAATCACTGCTCAGCTTTAATTTTCTAACACATGATCTTAAACCAAAACAGTGACAGCAATATTTAAAGTTATTTTAATATTTGAAAATCGTTTTTTTATATTTGTCTTATAGTTTTCATATTTTGAAGCTGTTGTGTTGGTACAGACGGATAAATTGAAGGATAAAGTATCTGTCTTTATAAAGATGATTATCAGACTACTTAAAACATATGTGTGCAGCAAATGCTCGTCTCTACAGTGCAGTACTGAGTGCAATGAGTTTATGGATACATTTATAACGTGGATCGCCACCGTCATAATCCAAATGACAGTCTGTCACATTACCGCAGCTCCGTCGCTTTTAATTCATGTGTGTTAACCTCCACAGCTGGCTGTCACAGCCACACTGATTAGACTGAACAGATGAGTTTACCTTGTCATGGGCCTGGATCTCTGCACCTTTCCTCATCAGCACCTCGATGATCTGAATGTTGCCACAGCCGGCTGCAATCAGGAGCGGAGGAGTCCCATGCTGCAAGGTAGGCACGCAGGGTAACTTTTAGTTTTCAGTGACCATGAGGTGTTTGTGTATCTTGAATTTGTGCTACAAAACCTCAATCTGACAGCATGTAACTATTACAACTTAAGAATATTTGGAAATAGGCTGATTTTCTCCCACAGGTTCTTAAAAAGTTCAGGAGATGAATCTGCATGGACGTATCTCAGGTTTTAGACAGTATGTGTCTTAAAGTGTCAGCACAGTGATGAAGATACAAGCTGAGGTAATAGAAAAGAAGGAGAAAGGATGGCAGAAAATGGAAAGATGACTTTGCTCTGAGCTTAAACACAGAGCAGAGTTAGAAATCTGGCAATTACCAGCACTAACTCTGGTCCTTACAGAGCTCTCTCAAGCTCTCTGTCACTAACTGTAGTGTTATTCTCCTCCTCCTCCCCACATCACTATTTTCTTATGCTCCCACTCCTCTTTTTCCACCCGTTTCCATATTTTCCTCTACACTTCGCTGAGTTTAATAACATCATGTCCCCCCATTGCCCATCATCTGTCAACAAACAGCATCTCTCCTCCAGTGAAACAGTGAGCAGAATGATGACGAGGGAGGTGCTGAGTCTGGATGCAAAACTGCAATTCATAACCCACTCTCTCATTAAATGTCTGCAAATGTGGGTCTTTCTAACTCAGCATCATCTCTGTATGTTCTTTTCTTTCGACAAATACGCATAAATAAAAACTTAATAAAGTGGGAACTGCCGCACCTGAACTGTCTGTGACTATCATTAACATTTTTACACTTCAAGAAGGCACAATTCTTTTTTTGTGGACTATTTCAACCTGTCCTCCAGCTAAAAACATTAATATCTGTTTTCCATTTCAATGTCTTCCACACAGATTAGTGTCTGAGATTACTAAGGATGACAAATTGGTTCTTTCTGGCTGATAATTTTCCTTTTAATGTGCAGAAAGCTCTTCTGTTTATGATGGTCATAACGAAGAGGCTTATCTGTTACCTGCCTGTTTTTACACAGTGTTTGAACTTCATGACTTCTTCCTCATATCTGAGGAAAACTTGCTAAAACAGAACTGGCTCAGGTGAAAAAATTGTGATTTAGCTACAGTTTTTGAGTTATACGAACAACAACGACTGTGAAAGTATGTGACTTTCCTGCATGCCTGTATTACGTCATAGGAGTATCTTTGTTCTGACTAGTCGGACTAGGAGGAATTGCCTTTGAAGGGATAGTTTGGATTTTTTGAAGTGGAGTTTTATGAGTTACATATCCATAGTCAGTGTATTACCTACAGTAGATGGCAGTTGCCACGGCCCCAGTTTGGAGAAGCAGACAGGAATACCACTATGGAAGCTAATGAATGTACTACCATGGACATGGGCAGCAGCAAAATATATTTTAGCCACTTAAAAAATCAGTATCAGTTTAAGTGTACGCTATATTTAGAAAAGTGGTTCCCAACTGATTCAGCCATGGGGTCCAGATTTCTCCTTAGTCATTAGTTCGAGGTCCACACTGTAATATATTCTGCATCATACTTGAGTTTGGCCACGTAGCTGAGCTAATTTGCTGTCTCTGTCAAGTGGCTGTGCGTTAGCCACTCACTCTACAGCAGGAAACAGCACTTCAAATTAAAAGCTCTGTGCTGGAAATTCACTGTACTTGAAAATAAAGTGTGTTTTTTACAATTTACACTGCTTAACTTGCCGCCAGACAGCCGTTTTCTGAAGGGGAACTAAAGACGTTACATTCGTTTATGTGCTCTCTTCGAAGTCACCAGACTCCATTGACAAAAACACTAATTTTACCTCACAGAACACGGGAGCTGCCGGTCTACCACTGTATCAGTCAGTTAGTTTGTTTGTGTAATTGTGTGACTTTGGTGAATCTGAACCGACCATTTAAAACACCAAAGTCACATGGTAACACAAACACACTAATCAACTGATGCAGCGGTAGACTGTCAGCTCCCATGTTCTGTGAGGTAAAATTGATGTTTTTGTCAATGGAGTCTGGTGGCTTTGAGATAACGTTCCAGTTCCCTGTCGAAAAAGAACTGTCTGATGGCAAGGTGAAAGTATTCTAGATATAGTGTACACTGAGATTGGCCTTTTAGGTGGGCCTGTTTTTTAGGTGGCTTTGATACATTTTGCTGCCCCCATCTACAGCAATGCATTGCTTAGCTTCTGTGGTGGTGCTCCTGCTTGCTTCTCTAAACTGGTGGTGCATTGACCACCATCTACTGAAGATAATATGCTGACTATGGATAAGTACCTCATAAAACCCCGCTTCAAAAAATCCAAACTATCCCTCTTGGAAAAAAAAATAAAATAAAATAAAAAAAAAAATCAAACAAACTCCGTCTCCTCGTCTTTGCTTCAATCATCATCCTAAAATGAGGCATGATCTTGTGATCACAAACTTCCATTCAGTTCCTAAAAAAGGCCGTCAGACTGGCTCCAGGGAAAGACATGTGGACACTGACAAAACCAGACCCGACCAATCAGCTGCCTCAGTGATGATACTGAACTGAACTGAAGTCTGTGTTTGTGGGAAAGTGACCTGCACTGCTAACTTTTATAGACATGGCATTCTTTCAGCTAACATAAGCGCTGTCATTTTTTTGTGTTTGATTTTCTGACAGTTATAAATTTGGATTTATTATAAAAACAACACAGAAAACACTTCACATCTCTCACAAATAATAAATCAATATCAAAAGACAGGGTTGACACTACATATGTTCAATATGTCTGTGTTGGTCACCTTGTTTGGCTGGTTGACGTCGTAACTGTTCAGGGAGCCCAGCAGGTGCTGCAGACCAGGCACGTTGTCGTCGTTTATGGCGTGGATGATGGCCTTCATCACAAAGGAGTCTTCCTCGTCCTAGACGGGTGGGAAAGATAGTTATTACTCTTCTACTGTTCACGGGATGATGATCTAATCCTGTGAACATTAATCCTGTGAATTCTTTCTATCACATGCTCCCCGCTAAGTCTCTCTTTCATCTTTACCCTCACGCATGAATACACGCAGAAACAAATAGACTTTTCTTTTGCGTCTGCAGTTCAGGTTCAACATAAAATCATTACTTTTTTTTTTCTTCCTATTGCTGACATTTGACCCAGTAACCTTCATCCAGAGTCAGCTGGGCGGCACAGAAATCAGCTGTGACGCTCTGCTGCACAAAGAGACGAGGAGGAGAGAGGCAGGGAGGTGGGGAGGAGGGAGCAGAGGAGGGGAGGCTGAGGTGGCGTTTGTTCTGCCAAGCGTGACACTTCGGCTACATTCCTCAACATAACCTCCCTGCTGGGGAAGCCATGACTAACCCACCTCAGAGGGGCTGCAAACACAACATAAACATGTACGGGAAGCAAACCGCCTGCTGGGGATTCGCTGTCAGCTCAGTTGTTTGGGATTTTTACCTTCGAAAAATTGCAAGTCATGACACAGGACGGAGAGGTTTTACCAATCTACTTAATTTCTCTTTGATGTGTAATATTTTCAGAGTAGGCCTCCACTTCAGACCCTGTCCAACAAAAGAAGATAACATCCACAAAGTAGGAAAAATACAGCATCTGTTTCTCTCCATCTTGACTCCTTGTGACACATCTGGTCCTGGACAACAGTCTCCACAACAACAACAACAACGGCTTTAAAACACAAGGAAGGACTGTGGTATCCGGGAAACAAAGATGTGGTCCTGCATGACTAAAAGTTCAGCGGCAGACAGACTGAGAAAAATAGGGCAGGCAGCGGAAATGAGTAATGCTCCTCTGTCCCTCAAGAAGTTATTTTTGAGGTGTTTTGTAAAGGTGACTAAACCTTATGCGCCTGTTACCTCTGCAGGCTATTTCTCCAAAGTATGTCGCTCTTAACCCACAGTCACCCTCCTCTCTGTGAGTCTCTCTCACTGTTAATTTGTGTTGCAGAGATTAGACGATTAGTCGACAGGCAGAAAAGTGTGATAACTGATTAATCATTAAAGTCATGGATGAAAAATGTTTCAACTCTTGACTTGTTTTGCTTCATTTCAGCCTGAATTAGTCAAAGTGGCTCTGTGTGAAATAGTGTCTGAGTTGTCTGGACACATTTAACATGTGCCCTTTATCCATTGTCACTCTTGGCCATGCCGAGTAAAGTCATGCCGCACCGATTTGTGTTTCCATTGTCAGTTTAGATATGCCGTGCAACACCAAGCAGCGCCAGAGATGGACCTACTCTGGAGTAGGTCCAATAGTCTGGCTGCCCGCCCTCAAGTGGACAGCAGTGATGTCTTGTGACTGCAGCCAACCGATGACCCCCGTTTTCCCCTCAAAACACACGTGTGTGTTGCGAGACTCTTGTCACCTCTGTCTGCAGGAGACCAGAGAGAAAGGCGTCTTTAAAAGTCTCTGTGTTCAGCTCTCAGTGCTTTTGTAGCCTCTAACTGAATCTCTGTGGTTTGGGGTTAAGTTTCTCTCCTGCGTCCTGTTTTTACTTTAGATATCTGCTTTATTTTACTGTTTCATGTTCGCTATCCGACATGTTAGAAGTTGTGTCAAGTTGCTGCTCGAAAAGTCAACATTTCCTTCTTTGCTGCTTCACAATAAAAGTTTATACATAAAAAAAAAAAAAAATAACAGTGGACTTTTATTGTGAAGAATCTATAGGAAATTAAATGTGTTATTACTGAATTAGTGGAACTTTGTTAGCGGGTTTTCTTCAATAAAGACAAGTCTAATAATTCAGCAGGGAGGAAAGTGAAAGCAGGAACAGCCACAGTGAGACGTTGATGAAGAGCTGCAGACAACAGGCTCTTACTGCACCTCTGCAAACAGCTCACCTCCAACAGGTAAACTTCTTTTACCTGCCCTGCTGTGTGATGGAAAAACACATGCAACAAAAATAACGGGGGACTTTATTCATGGATGAGCCTGCTGCTTTTAAACGTCATCACCCAAGACAACAGCAACAGTGCTGACAGAGCTAATGGTGTTAACCAGGGGGAACTGGAGGGTGGGTACATGCTACTGCAATGACGCTGTCCCAATATCAGTGGTAAATGCTGCAATAAAAAAGCCACAGCTATGAGCACTAACATGCACATGTGGTCAGACAGTCCTACGCAAGAACCAACAGAGAAGCTTGGATTACAACACACATACAGAGCGTGACTTCGCTCAGGGTGCTATCACTCATCTGTATGTTCATATAGCAAATAGTTGTTTTTGAATGTCACATATTGAACCTTTAAGCCACATCTGAAAAGCAATAAACTATTCTAGATTTCTTCAGCTTTAAATGGCAACATACAAACTGCAGTTTGCAACATGAGATGAACAAACACAATGATTGTGTCACATGCATGATCATGCGAGAGTAGAAAAAAAATCATTCTGCTATTGGCGAGCAACAGTCCTTTGTGCAACGAAACAATGCCAACATCTCTGATTGGCTTCTTCTCCATAGCAACAGCTGCGAGACTCGTGAGTATTGTAGTATTCTAGAGTCATCCTCCATGCCAAGCAGACTGGAAACACATGGTTTCAAAGCAAATCAGGAAAATAAAACTTAATACCCACTTCTTACTCTACTTCGGCTCATTTTAAAGACTAAACAATTATTCAAAAAAATGACTGGCAGATTAATGAATGATGAAAATAACCATTAGCTGCAGTCCTACTACTAACACTTTCTCAGCTCTCTGATGTGTGCACTTCCTCCCACTCTCTGATACAGAGCCTCTAACACAAACAGCTTCTTAGTTGAAAATTTACAGAGGGGCCGCTGCACTAAAACAAATCTCTAAGTCTTTAAGTAAAGCACTTAACCCTGGAGCTGCTCAGCCAATAAAGACAGCCATCTATTAGAGAGCTTGTGCTGTTGCTGCAGCTCCGTTTCCAGACTACAGGGGGCGCTTCGTTCTACCTGCCAGCTCACCTGTGATATGAAGAAGTTGCTGCGTAATCCTCTGATGAGGAAACAGGCCTGGCCTTGGCCTGCTGGCAGCGCTTTGTAAATGATTAAGCCTATCACTGAGGCTGCAGTGTTTACATCGCACGGGCTGGACAGTATCAACATATAGACACATACAAACTCAAACAAACTGACTTGTACATTCACACAAGTTTCCTTCACACATTCCTGTGAGCTCAATCTGGTTTTAAGGTTACACACACACACACACACACACACACACACACTGAAATTCCAACAATTCTGCAAACACCTGACCTGTGGCACTGTGGAACAGATCAATTACACGTAGGAGCTCAAGATTTTCAGAGAGATTGTTGAGCTAGAAATACCAGAGCTGTAACTGAGAGCTTGGGGTCCTAATAAGAAAATGCACTTCAGGAAAAGCAATCTGAAACTCATTAAGCCGCCTGTCTCCTGTCAATTATGTTGATTTGGTTTATATTAAAGATAGGACAAGACTGCAGAGATAAAAGTAATGGCTCTTCTGTTGTAGATGTTTTTCCTCGAGTGCAATTTAAAGTGTTGTTGGTGTCAATAGCTGCAAACCCAATCAACTTAATGAATTTGCTGTAGTAAAGATTAACAATCTTGCCCGCTCTCTGCTTTAATGCCTGTTTGTAATTGTTCAGAGACAACAGAGAAGCGGCTCTTACCAGAGTGTCATCACTGCGTGCCACACTTATGTTGCTTCTGGACAGGAAGGAGCGGGACAGCCGGTTGCATAAGGAGATCAGCCGGACAGATTGCTGGAAAAGAGGAGAAGAAGAACGGCGGTTCATGAGTGAGTACAAGTAGAACAGGTTAACGTCAAGTCATGTTCAGGGGACCGTGAACGGGCGGGCAGGTGCAGACATAAAGCAATTTTCTGCTCCATTTACATCAACTTTACTCATTGTGATTCATCCTTTGATAACCCATTGTCCTTCAGACTGTTCGGCGACTTGACTCTGGACTTTTGCCTGCTATGCACTGGTAAATTGGATGCTGAGGTTGTGCAGTACAGAGTTAGTGTGCAAAATCTAAAATAATTCAATTCAGAGTGTTTCATTTGGCCCTCACTGAGCACTTTGAGGCGAATGAGTCTGCAAACAAAACACAAACAAAACATTCATTTACACACATAAAAAAGATATGATGTAAGAAAAGAGCTGAACTACACAAGTGTTAATGCCAGAAACCAGTCTGTGACAGGCCAACAACACATTATTATTAATGCTCAAACATTTATCACAAGGTAAACAGACCATCTCCGGATTCTAATGGCTCCTACAATCAAACCAAACTTCCTTCTATTTGTTTTTATACAAGCAATCTAAAGTGCATTCCCCTCAGTTTATGTGCCTTTTTGGGGACTTGTACAGTATTAAGCTACGCAAGGGCTCTCTGTGTTTTCTCACTAATTTTAGAGATGAGTTTAAAGCTGGGGAAGGCAGTTTTATTTTGGCGTCTTTGGGCAAAAATCCCATAATAAACTTTGAGCATATTGTAATTAAAGTAGAGTAAGAGAATACTAAACTTCTGCACCTCTGCTTAGCTCTGTTTTCAGAAAATCTAGGCCGGGATGGGAGACTGGCTGATTACAGGTCAGAGAGAGGGCGTTCCTAATGCACGTTCATGTCCCTATGGTGAAAGCCTGATTCAATGGTGGAGAATCCAGCAGAGTAATTTGCAATTCCAGCATTGGCAACGACTGCAAAGCAACCCAAAAAAAAGGAAGACAGACTTATCATAAAGTGTCTAAAAGAGAGCCTGACAATAAACAAAGCAAACAAAGTGTCAACATCAGCAAAGTGTTTCAGAGGTGGACAGAAAATGTTTGTAAGAGTTTCACCTGCTGCTCACAGCTGCAGCTTCAGGTTCATGTTTTTGTAGCGAACATTAGCTAGAGCCTCGAATCACAGTGTGTCCTCTGCATCACTCCCCGCCGCTACAAACCAGGGGAAGCAGCTCCAGAGACTGACCCCTAGATGGCAGCTGCAGCAACCTCAATCCAGCCAGTGCAGAACCCTAACCCTGACACAGTCCCAACTTTCTGTCGCAGCCGTTGACCAAAGATCCTGAGCTAATGCTCCACAGTGGTGGGGAGCGAGGCAGAGGGATGGTGGGGTGGCTAGCTAGCCAATCTTTGTCTCATTTGTGGTCTGATAACAGAAAGAAAGCAGGGCAAGAAGAGGATGAGCAAATGCGCTGCTGGCAACACTACAATGAAACGAGATGAAATAAATCAGTGTTTGGGAAACACTGGGTTAATGTATGAAGCCGGGGTTTTCCCTGCCTATCTAAGATGCCGCCTTGGTTAAAGCGTGTGTGTGCATGGGGGGTGTTCGGATGTAGCGTCTTTTGCGCGTACAAACCCATTACTTTCAATGTAGACGCGCATCATGCCCGCTCACAACCCAAAGCGACACCGTAGCGGTACGCATTCGGTGTGACGCGCTTGTTTTTCGTCAGGCGCACAGCTCCACGGACCTGCTTCTCCCTCCGGTGTTGTGTCAGAACCCGGTTCCCCCTTGGGCTGTGTCTCTCCTACTGTTTCCCACAGAGCTCTGCCCCGCTTGAAAGGCGAAGGAAGCCCATATGTGGAAGCACGTAGCCTCTGAGATGTAGAATGTGTATTATAGGAGAGAAACACACATTTCAGGACCGCTGACTTGTATCATCAGAACAGACATGTCCTGTGATTTTCAGCCTCCTAGAGGGGGGACAATACCTGACAGTAATATTCTCAGCGGTCAGGATGTGCCTGCTGTAAAGGGTAAATATAATCACAGAAGGCTGAAAATCACAGGACATGTGTTCTGATTATACAAGTCAGCAGTGTAAAGCTCAAGCATGTGGGGGCCTCCTTTCATATTTAATAGAGGGGGGGACCATATCTAAAAGTACAGCTGTCAAGATGCCCCCTGCCACAGGCCTTTGCCACCTTGGTCTCAAAAAACCCAGGGAAAACCGTGGAAGCACATGCATATGCCTTTGGTCATCCGGTGGGAGGGGCTTAGGACAGAGAGGGGAGAGGTGCAAGAGGAAGGTGTATTTTCAAATTCTGATATTTTTTGTTTGCCTTTAACTCTACATACCCTAGCTCTGATAGCACATTGCAGTCAGTGCTTCTCTGTTCAAGAAAGGAGAAGTCTTTTCGACTTCAAATCAACAGAGTGCAGCCTTCATGACAGCTGGATTTTATTTGCTCTGTTCATTAAATCTTTTTAATTAAAGTATGGTGTGATATTCCATCAACCTCTTAAATCTCACTTTAACAAACAACAAATATACTAAAGTCTCTGCTTTGTCATGTTTTAGTGTCAGTTTTGCATGTAGGAGTAGATAAAGGCAAATCAAGGTGACTGCAAAGCCAGAAGCTTTCAGTGTGCCAGACTCCAGCATGAAGACAGAGACATGGCATGACAGGACCGCCAAACCGCCACAGATAAACACTCCCTGCATTTCTGTCAGGCTAAGATGTGATACTGGGTCAGCTGTGACAAACCAAAACAGACAAGGAGACAACCACGAAAGCAGCACTGGCGGTAAATCTGATGGTTATGGCGAGGCCTGCAGCAATTATGGTGACATCAAAGAACGTCTGAGGAGGCAAGAAGCTGTCAAAGTACAGTGTTCTGGGGATGTCATGACTTACTAAGTTTTTTGTCTTTCGTGATGCTTTAGAGACAGTATCAGAGAAAAACACTTACTTTCCATTTTCTCCGAGCTGCAAACTTTTTGAACTTCTCCATGTTGACAGCTGACTCCTTTCTGCTCAGTGCTTGTTGAGTGTCTTTTGGCTGATTTCACAACACAACAAATGCATCGACAGAAAAAAAAAAAGGCTTATTAAAATATTCTTGGCAAGATCACTTTGATACAGAATCAATCAGCTGAGGCTTGGCAGCATTCAGCTTATAAATCCAAGCTGTTTCTAACAACTACTACCTCAAAATAAAAAAGAAACACTTTATATTTTACAGGACTGTGAATGTTTTAAATAGTGATGACATCAGTTGGCTATAGAAAAGCAGAGTCCAACCTTGATCCAAGGGTGCTGGAGGCTGTCCTGAATCGTCATTCTCTTTCTGCAGATAGAAAAAAATATTAAATATAAAAAAAAGGATTGTCTTTTAATATTTAGCAATTCAAGAGTTCAGTGTTTTCTGGCGTGATTCAGCATCTTAACACTCAAAGCAATGACTATTTATTGCCACAGACACAGTTCACTTCCATCCAAACAATATATTAACGTCAGTGATTTTACTTGATGTCATTGGTGTCATCAATGTATTTTATTTTCACATCAGAACAATTGCCCTCATTCATGGGTGGTGTGTTAAATAAAAAGATCCAACTGACCCTTCGCTAAGGTCCAGGTGCCAGAGCCAAACACCGTTCATCTGCACACACTGTGATGCCACACAGCTGGTTCAGTATCAGCAAAGTTTCCCTTTATATTCATTGTCTTGTGTGGCGATCAGCAGTGATGTGGTGGTTCACTTTTACACTGTGATCTGTAGCCTATAGTTCGGCTTTAGCTTCTAACTATCTTTGTCTTTTTAACCTGTTGTTGCTGCTGAGTCAGTTTGACATCCTGGATATATCCTTCAAACACAGACTATTGACCCCTCTGTCTGCTTCTCTCTGGAATCACTCTTTCATTTTCCACAAATATGATAATATTTCTTCAGGGTGTGCAGTTAGTTACAGTGAGGGCTCCATGCTTACTCTGACAACTTGTTGGACCATTACAAAGGGGCGGGGCGTAGCGAAAGGTCAATTCCAAGTCTTTTTGTCAAATTTAGCGAGTATCTCATGATGGTCGGCTAGCTGTCCGTTCTGTGTGTGCACAGAACAGACAGCTAGGCCTTGGCTCTGTAAATGGGAGACAAACACAGCTGATCGGACCATTTTCCATTGGGTGACTTTCGTATACCTACTATATATCTTACTATATAATGATGAAAACTCTGTCTGTGTGTCTGTTCCATGTTTTTCTCCTCACTGACTTGGTCAATCCATGTGAAATTTGGCACAGTGGTAGAGGGTCATGGGAGGATGCGAATGAAGCAATATTACATCAATTGGCCAAAGGGGGGCGCTATAGCAACCGATTGAAATTGCAAACTTTGAATGGGCATATCTCATGCCCCGTATGTCGTAGAGACATGAAACTTTGCACAGAGATGCCTCTCCTCATGAGGAACAAATTTGCTTCAAGAACCCATAACTTCTGGTTATATTGATTTTCCACCATTTTGAATTTTTTGAAAAACACTTCAAATCATTCTCTTCCTAGGAAGTTTGAGCGATCTGCATGAAACTCGGTGAACATAATCTAGGGACCAATATCTAAAGTTCCCTCTTGGCAAAATTTGGAAAACTTACTAAAACTGAGCTTCTATAAGGCAATGAATATTGCAGAGGGCGTGGCTCATCACATAAAGGTGTATAACATCTCAAGGGTTTCACCCATCACCACGCAACTTTGTAGGCATATGACCACACATAATCTGAGGGGACCCCTCCATTATTGACCCAATCAAACAAAATGGGGGCGCTAGAGAGCTAATTTCTTATCTAGGCCTAACCGCCATATCGATTTTTACTAACTTGGTAGATGTAGAACAGAACGCCTCAAGGTGACTGGAGAAATTTAACTCTAATTGGCAACTGGGTGGCGCTATAACAACAGAAAAATGCTTAGTCAGTCAGTCATTCTGTCTGTCCCACTTTTTTCTACTCACTGACGTGGTCAATCTATGTGAAACTGCACATAGGCATTGGGAACAACATTGGCAGTTGTTCATTTATAAACTTTTGATGCTTCCACCCTGTATTTCATCCCTTTTCACTCTGACCTCACATAATCGTGGTACTCGCTCACAAAATAGGTTGTTGCTTCACGCAACCTATAAGAGTGTCTTTCGCTTACAGTGCTCCTTAAACATGGAATAATCTGCAAAAGACATTAAACTTGGACACTCTGCCACACTTATGGCTGTTTAAATGCCTTATATATGATCTTGTTTAACACCATAGCATATTTATCACCCAGTATTTCTACTTTTAGCGATCATTTATTGACATTGTTGTTTGTTGTTGTGTATTGTTGTGTTGTTAATGTCTTTTCTCATGCTCGGCATCACTGAAAATGAGGGTCACCCCCAATCGATTTCCTAAGTCTTAAATGAAAATAAAGGTTTGAATGAATGAATGAAAAAATAAATAAAGCCTTTCACAAAAATGGGCTGTTTAGTGTCTACACTCCTCAAAGTGTCCTGACACACAATCCTTACGTGTCGAGAGGAATTGGAATTTAATTTTTTTAGGCCACATCCCACACATGGATGAAGGCATTTTTTCTCTCCTCAAAATTATTTGTGTGGTTGTGAGAGACACCAGAAGCATTTTTTAAATTAAGGTTGTATCTGCAAGATGTTCAGAGACACTGATTGCTGTCAACAGTCCATGAAAGCTGTGGACAAGTTGAACGAAGGATTACTGAGCACGGACAACAATCACAGCTGTGTGCAGATGGATATAAGAAAGTGTCACTCCCATATAACTGCAAAGAAATGATTATGATGCACTTGTGAGACACTAATTTCCCATCTTACTATAAAATAAGTGCTAAACCTTGAAAGATTGAAGAATTATTTTAACAATTTGCAAAGCTTATTCTCGGAGCAGTGTGACTCAAGCCACTGTTCAGACTGACATCAGCACTGTGTGAAAAATGCAGCCACCTCATTTGTTATAATGAGGCCACTGGGTCGACACAACAGACTCAGGCAGAAAGACGCACTATCATCCAGCAAATCTGGTGTTTAGGCTTCTAATAAGGCATCGAACTCACAGATTTATTACTTTAACTGGACATCCTGGATTGTGCAAACAGGAATCTCCTTCTAACACTGCCAAATGGGATTTAAAATGTCATTGTGTCACAGCGTTAAAGGGCAAACAAGATAGAGATAAAATGATTAATAGATGAACAGTTGGACAAAACAAGACATCTGAATACATCAGCTCAGACTCTTTGAGGATATTATGGCAGATTATTTGACACTGAAAACAATTTTGTTAGTTAGCTGCAGTCTAGTTGAAGCTTTGTGAGTATAAATGTGACAATATCTCTTCCTGATCACAAACAAACAAGATTTCTACAAATTAAAACACTACTGGATGCCATCTTTTCATTACATGTGTGAGTAATTCATCAGTTCTGTTCTCACTGTAGCTCATCTCCATTCAAAATAGTGTGATATATTGACCTTTGTTGACCTAAAAATCTCATTTCCTTTGTGAAATTCTTTATACTTCTCTTAAATACACATCTAATACGGTAATGAGACATCTGAGTAAACGGGAAACAATTTGCGCGACAATTACGTCATGTACTACTTCCCATAAGATATCTTAACGGAAAAAACACTTAAATTGAAGCAGATGTTCCAAGGCATAAAGTTGGCACTTCATCCATACAAAGATTATATTTAATTTACATTTTTAACAGACTAACGCTTTAAATAGCAGTAATCTACATTCAACATCCATCTGACCTTCAATAAAAGCCTTTAAGGAACGTGGTTGAAAGTGGTTAAAAGTACAGATGCTCTTCCCTTATTACAACTGCTGTAAACTAACAATGAAAACAACAAGACATTGTTTAGACAAAGTTTCAGTTTGTTAATGTAAGCCAACATAACCATTAGGGAAACTGGTGCGGTTGATTAGACGTGCACAAAACTTCCTCCCGTTGATGTCTGTTCAATACCACATCCCTGTTTCTAACTGAGGCTACACTGTGCTCACACACACCTGAGTCAAAGCACAAACCCACAAACCTTCACTCTACTGACTGAGGTAACAGTGAACTCAGGGGTGATGGTATCCGTCCACATTTTAGGAGAGGAAATGTACCAGACGCATTGATAATCTCAGTGATCAGTGAGTGTGCAGTCCAGTGTCATGGCCAACATTATTAATGTGTGTCTCCTTCAGGGGAACCTTCATTACTTTTCCTGCCAGCTGAGTGGCTCCATGTCCGCTCACGATGTAGATCAATTAAAAGCTGTTCCGTTTTGATGCGCTCGGTCGGGGATTTCTAAAAGCCCCATTAGATGAAGTTTGTAAAGTCAGACTCCTCTTTCGCCCGCCGTCTGTTTAAGGCGCCACGTTCCTTTTCTCACTTTATCCCGTCTAAATGAAATTATCTTCACACCTATAATTATTCACCGCTCCTCACTCCTCTGCCTCTAGCTCCATTGTTCACGGTCTATAAGTGTTGCTGCAGCCATTCATCTGTTGCTAGAGCAACACGTTAACAAGGAAGACGCTCACAGTTTTAGAAGCTGGATCGTCTCTTGTGACAAGATGGCTTTATTTGGGATATCGGAAGTAGGCCTATATTCAATTTTCTTGTCTGCCTTTAAGAATAGAAAAAATGAGACTCCTCAGTGGGCCAATACTTAGAATAGTGTCTTTCAAGTCAAATATTATAGAATTCATACTGAGTTAGGGATAAGATTATTTTATTCATAATGCTGCTTTACTTTTGAATTCTACCTGGCAAAAAGATGCGGTCTTCCTCATTTAAATGCTTGTCTTGTTGTTAATGTATTTAGAAGATGAACTTCAAATGGTGATTCCACACAATATGTGAGATTAAGTCTTCAAATAAGGTAAAAAAAAAAAAGGCATAATCTGAGTCTTAAAACACCATCCTACAGGTCAAATTGACTGATTGGTTTACGTTAAGCTTCATCCATTATTTGATTGACAGACAATTAATTGCCAACAATTTTGTTTGAACTCATTAATCCAATGCAATGCAATGAAATATCATTAGCTGAGCATTTGCAGAGCTCTGACGAAGGTCTGTGTGATCGAAAACCAGGGGCCGTATTCACAAACATTCTGAGAACACTCTCCTAACTGAACCTAAAAGATTTGAGTAAGAAGCTCTAGCTTTGATTTGGAAAGTTCTCTTGCCTTAGTGAGAAGGTGTGTTTGACCCTGTTGCTAGGTATGATTCACTGTTTAACAGATGTGATTGGTTGTCGCAAACATGCCCTTTTGACTGTGAAAGTGTTGTCATTGTTAGTGTGATCACTCTGCTGATGGAAGGCTGAGGAAGACAAAAGTCATCAATGCATTTTTCCAGTTTTCCAAATATCTTAGTGTTGTGATCATTTTGTTTCTGGCGTTACAGTGTTATTTCACTGGGTGTGAACTGTGGGTGTATCCCTAACGAACCACAGATATAATTCCTGCATGATCTTATCTGTAGTATTTCATTTTCTCACTGTCATCCAGTGTTTGGAGTATATTCCCCCAACCTCTTTGTGTTTCCACCATTTTCTCCTCTGATTAAGAAACTCTTAAGCCTCTTAAAAGTCCTCCTTCCTGCTCCTAACAGTTTTGCACCTTAGGAGCTCTTTTAAAGTCTAAGATGCTTTGTGAATAACTTTTATCTTTACAAGGACTTAGTGTTAATTCTAAGAAAACATAACATTTCTAATAAATTTCTAGGAACAACTCATGGCATCAGGAAGCTGTGTGAATATGGCCCCAAGTGTTTCCAAAGAGAAAATGTGCATTAGTTTTTATATGTTTTCACTGCAGTCATCAGAAAAATCCGACATTTTCTGGACCACTGCTTGGACAAAACAAGCAATTCGAATACTCCAACTTGGACTGTGGCAGACTGTGAGGGTCATTTTACACTATTTGGTCACGTTTTCTAGACTTAAAGGAATACTTGACCCCCCAAATGACCATTTGTATATCAGTTCCTCACCCCATGTTATGGTGAATTTGTGAAGAGAACTTTTCTTGCATGCCACCACGGTGAAAGACGAATCAAAAGAAAAAAATACAAAACTAAATCAAAACATCTGTTTACAAAGTCTCACACAACTTGTGCAGTACAATCCAAGTCTCATTTATCTAGCTGTATGCTTAGTGCTTCCCAAACAGACGGCTCTCTCCAGCAGGGAACTGAAATTAAAGTTTGATTTATAAGTTTCATTTTACCTCATTCAACTCGGGAGCTGCTGATCTACCACTGCCTTGATCAGTAGTTTGTTTGTGTTATTGTGTGACTGCAGTGAACTTGAATGTCACTTTTTAAAACTAAATGAGGCTGTAGAAGACCAGCAGCTCCTGTGTTAATGAAGGTAAAATGACTGTTTTGTCAATGGAGTCTGGCTTTGAAGAGAACGTAGATAAGTTCTGAATATACAACTGGATAACTGAGACTTGGATCATAATGCACAAGTTGTGTAAGTGTTTGCAACCAGTTGTATTGATATAGTTTTGCTGTTGTTAAACAGAGACCCCTATGGCTTTTCCTCCATCAAGAATTTAATAGATTTCTGGATTCTTCATTCATTGGAGGCATGGGAATTAAAAAAACACTTTTGTTCATGTTCATGAATTCAACGTACCATTTGGGGGGTGATGTATTCCTCTAACAACTGACATAAAAATAGTCAATCCTGAAAATAATCATTGGTTACTTCCCCCATTTTGAAAACTGTCGACTTTGGTTTTTCACCCAGCTGATACCATCAAAATCCCTGTCTCAAATATCACACTGAAGGATCATACATACTTGGGGTCTTTGACAAGGAGCCGTGCAATGAAGTCTTTGGCCAGGACGCTGGTGCCGCTGAAGAACTCCTCGTCAAACGTGTAGTCAACGGCCGACACGTTGGCCAGAGTCTCTTGCTTGTTGTCGCCCAGGAAAGGAGATGCACCACTCAGACTGTACAGAGGGGTAACAGTGAGGTTAGATGTGTAGAGACAATGAAGACAATACAGTCAAATACCTGTTTACCAAGATAATCTGAATTTGATTAATTTCTTTTTGGCTGCATGTTAAGCTCTACATTTGTGTTTTAATCAACTCAACAACTTCAAAACCGTCAATTTAATCTACTTGAACAGCACCAATGCTCTTTCATCATCTAACTTGTCCCTGCTGGTCTTATAATCAATGGATTTCAATTTAAACACTAACTCACCCACCGCTGTTTGGTTCCAGCCATCGAAATCAAAACTGAGATCTTACTACACGTTGAGGTGGGGATTGTGATTACGGAGCCATGTAGCAACTAATGGTGACGCATTAGTCAAGCCTTGCTATCAAACTGACGTACTTGGTGTGTTAGTCAAACATTATCAGAGCAGAGCCAGCTGGACGGCTCTCGGTTACAATGAACATGTGAGGAGTTTGAGCAGGGTGCAAGAGTTTTAACACACTTTCACACCTCTCAGCTGAACGCACACGTGAAAACAAGATGCACACTGCTGCTCAAAAGTCTGGAATCGCCACATGGCTAAAAGTACTAATCTATACTTCTGAATGGTCTTTCATGCTTTTAGTTTGCAGAAAGTCCTCTTGACAAAATGATCTCATTTGATGTGAATGGTTTGTTTTATACATGGAGAGCAAAACGCTGTACAAAGGTCCGACCAGACTGACAACAAGGAAGAGACAAAGTAGAAGAAATTTCCTGTCACTAGTTAAAGAAACTGGAAGCTTAGCATCAAAATGTGTGCGGATTTAAAAAGGAGCAGTTTCCTGATTCAGTGTAGAGTGCACAATTATGCCTATAACACGGTAATCTCGGAGCTAGCACTGTTGGAATATCAGCTGAACAGACTATGGACTGACAGATCACAGTTTAAACCCCCTCAGGCTATGAACTGCGTAGACTGCAGAGGGCCTGAAGAAAAATTGCGTCACTAAAATCAAAAGAGCCCAGCTGGAAAACAACTTCAGAAATCAAAGTTCACACAGTATTTTCCCCAGTCATGCAACACTGTGGGTAAAAAGTGACTTAACAGATGCTTGAATAATTAATTCTTTCTTTTGGGGCAAAAACTATTTTAAATGTCAATAAAACATTTGGTGTCTGAATCAAACTGTTTTCATCTATAACAAAATAGCCATTAATGATGGAAAGAAGACAAACTTTTAAACGTAGAAAGTGTTGTGGGAACTTTTGAGTGTAGGAAGGGAATGAGACACAAGCATGTCTTAATGGACAAACCTGGGCTGCAGTTGAATAGTCATGAAAAATTTCTAGGAATGCACCAAATATTCTGTAACCGAATATATTCAGCCGAATATTGCAAAAACAACACACATTCGGTATTCGGTGGAATAAGTGAAAAGCAAGGCCGAATAATAGTGCCGTGTTTTGATGACGCAATCAAACAGCATGATTTCAACCAGCAGCAGAAACGAAAGGCCAATCCTGCCGGATGTGGGGTTGAACGGGGGTCACAGACACAGACAGGAATACGTATTCCTGTCAAATGCGGTGGCCATAGTGCTCCGTGGTGCAAGATAACGGCTTACTGGCAACGGAGAAGCCCGGCTCCAGGTCCAATAATTTCCTCTTTCATTGGCGTCATGACTGCCCAAAAGTACCTGGAAAGCTGAGCTGTGGCAGCACACAGGTATGTGACGTGTCAGAGGGGAAACGAGCCGTTCACATTTCTCTCTGTGAGAAATGTGAACGGCCCGGCTGGTTGATTTTTGGTTGATTTTTATTTGATTTATTTTATTTTGATCCCCCCTATGTTAATCACTCAATAAGTGATAAGTCAAGTAATTTATTCCATTGAAATATCATTGATGTATTATAGAAAAGTGATTTATCTTTTTATAAATGACAAAAGGCACATCTGCCTCATTTTCGCTGTGGTATCGTGATACTACTCAGAACTGTGATACTTTCACCTGTATCGTACCGTGGGTCCCAATTTTGGTACCGTGACAACACTAATCTGGAGGGGGTTCAGAGGATGGACTACTAAAAATGCTTCTTAATTCTACTGGTTTTTACACCTAAATGTATTTTTTTAAATCCTTTACAAACCTTTAAAACCTGATGATTTTATGACTTCTCTCTTTTACTTTGCTGCCTTTGTGAAGGACTTTGTAATGTGGACTTTGAAGTTATTGTTGAGATTATTATTATTATAATTATTATTATTACCTTAGATACTTTACCCCGTGAAACTGTGAGTTTCGTGCAGGCTCAACAATGGGGCAACAACGTTATTTCATTTCAAGGTTGGAATTAAAATAAAGAATAAAAGTAGGCTCCCAGTCACTAAAGCGAAACTAATTAGTTGTCACATGGAGAACGGCTGCTCACACTCACCCTCCTGTCGAGTCATATTTATTGAGATAAATCCCACTTAGCATCCATCCATTTTCTGTGACTGCTTATCCTCTTAAGGGTCGCTAAAGGGCTCGAGCAGATCCCAGCAGACACTGTGGGAGAGGTGTGGTACACCCTGGACAGGTCGCCAGACTATCACAGGGCTGACACATTCACATTCACACCTACGAGCAATTTAAAGTCACCATTCAACTGAGCCTGCATGTGTTTGGACTGTGGGAGGAAGCAGGAAAAACCCACACTAACATGGGGAGTACATGCAAACTCCACACAGAGAGACCACAGCCGACCAGCGTGATTGAACCTGGAACCTGCTTGCTGTGCGGCAACAGTGCCAACCACTGCACTACCATGATTACATGAACATCATTTTTAAATTGATAGACACAATGTGAAGAACTGAGTAGCGAATCGATTTAAATGTTGCTGTTGCAAGGATATTGTGAGATGTCGCTATCTTCCTTTGGTTAAGGATTAATTAAGTGTGCCCTCTGCTAAAGGAGATAAGAAATGAAGCACTGACGCACCTTTCCTTAGCATTTCAAGAATTCAACCAGCTCTTATCATGGCTGCCACTTAAATACTTCCAGGTCATTTCACCCAGTTAGGAACCTTCCTACGCTGAAAAGACTATTCAAGCGCAGCCCACGACACAGTACCGTAAACACAGACCTGAGCGATCATGCATGTAGACACGATCTCAGTCCCTCAGAGCTCAGGCAGTTAAATCAGACACCAGTCCCTGACAAACCCCTGGCCGTCCCCTCTGCTCTGATATCTCTCCAGCTCATCAGCTCCAGCTGTTAATTAACACGCCAGCTGGGACAGACGTGGAGGTCGTGCAGGTCAAGCTCAAGTTAAGCAGAAATGTATGAATTTATCGACTGCATAAGGTGCAGCTGCTCGCAACAAACAAGTAATTAAAGCGATTCTTGCCGAGCCAGGCGGTAACACCAGCAGGAAAGTGTTAAGTCAGGATTCTCTGGCGACATTTTATTCACCAAAATGTTTCCCAGATGAGACTTAAAGATGCACGGTGCACAATTCTTAACAACCTGAAACCCAAATTAGGGCTCCAGCAGAGCAGAAAGCTGGCTGATTCACCACATTCACCCAAATGATCTCAGTTTGCATTATCGCTGACACATGAAGTCTTAAGAAATGGAAGTCAGAGTATCTTATATGACTACTTTGGAGTTCCCAAATGGAGCTTTTTGTGCAGCTTCCATTACAGTGTTACAATCGGGTCATCACTCATCCAGCATATTCCCATTAAGGGTGTGGAGATGCTCCCTAAAAAGTACCTCAAATCATTTATTCGTATTTGTAATTATTGAATTATTCTTCCCTCTCACGTTGGTCTTTACAATAGGAGATGAGCAGTAAGTGCACCTCGCTGTTGCTCTGCTGTGATAATAGGCAGTGAGCGATCTATTTTCTACCTTGCCTGGCAGAGCTGTGACAGCTGTGTGGGTGGACAGCATGAACAAAGATCGTGTGTGTATGTGTACAGTATGAACGTGTGCATGGATGCATGCGTAAAAGTGTGTTCATGAAGAGTAGAGCTAAAATGATGCATCATTTGAATAGCCCCTACAATTTACTCTTTAAAAATGAAACATGCGATGTTCGCAGCCACTTATTATGTAATAATGAGATAACACTTGTGTTGGCATTTACCTTTACTTTCCCTTTATTTACCTCGCTGTGTTTTAGTGAGAGCCCTCTACATGTTTGTGTGGGCAAAGGCACCTAATGCGTAGTCTTGTGCACACGTTCTGTGTTTGTGCTCCGTGTAGGTGTCTCTCTGAAGGATAAAAGGTGTGTGGGAGCTCAGAAAAGCTCGTAGCTGCGTATAGAGAGGAGGACAGCATCGTCAAGAGCCAACAGCAGTTGATCGGTGGGTCGCAGAGGGCATGAACTTTTCTCTTGCTGTTGAATTATACTGCGCTGACATGTCTGCAGACAGCTGCTTCAAGAGCACTCAGTACTTCAACGAAAGCACTTGGCTGTAGAAAATGATGTCGCTGAAGACGTGTTTGTTGTTTGAAAGATCAACTGCTTAACTGAAGTCTCAAAGTAGCCACACAGGTGAAATGTTTTAACATAACTTATTGTGACAGGACGAATACCTCATCAGGACTTCTTTTCTGAGGTCACATCCTCTTTATTAAGAGCAGAGCAGGCCAACAAGATCAAAGAGGACTGACCAGACCTTGGACAAAGTCCAGAGTCATTTAGCTACAGTAGATCAGCCTCCAGCAGACAGACATTTCATTTTTGAGAGCTCAGTATTTTAGTTTTTGTTAAAAAAGAAAAATCTGGAAACATATTTTGAATATAAAAATAACTGGTTAAAATCTCCTGCTATAATCTTGAAAAGATTTGCTACTCAATTAGTAACTCAAATAAAAAATTCAAAAGGTTTGGGCCCCTTTCTGAAAAACTTTCAGAGCTGCCAGTTAAACTGAAGATTTTATGTTTGTTTCTTAAATCGGTGCTTTATGTCAGTGTACAATGATAAAGTACCCCATCATTCTGATCCTGCCTGTTACAAAGACATCCCTCCTCCTCTCTTTTAATATTAAGCCTGACTTTCAGCTTATCTGTTTTTTTTTTTTGTTTTGCACTATTCAGGAGATGGCGGACCATCCTACTGACGATATTCCGGCTGTTATTAGAGGTCAGGGTATGGGGAGAGATGTGATTTGATTTCAAGCTTTGTTGTTGATGGACAGCAGATCATTTACATTTTCTCCCCACTTTTCTCTTCATTTTCAACTAGTCCATACCCACTAAGTGCACAGATGCCCACGTACAGTTTCACATGGTGTGTGTTTTGGATCCAGATCATAGGAAATTGCAGATTAAATAGTCAACTGAACCCATTAAGAAGAGCAATGTATTCAGACAGAGTTTTTGTGAATTTGATAGTACGATTGCTTTATTGAAAGTACAGTAGCACCATTGCCAATAGTGGCATAGTTAGTGGGCTAAAACTGTACATTAGTAGTTGAGGTAGCACGTTGAAAGGCAGATAGGTAAAGTGTTTATATGTTGTATTGACTTAAAAGTGGGGCGCACTGGTAGTTCACATGGGAAAGGTGCGACACAGTTGCCAATTAGAGTTAAATTTCTCCAGTCACCTTGAGGCATCCTGTTCTACATATCTACCAAGTTTAGTAAAAATCCATACGGCGGTTAGGCCTAGATAAGAAATTGTATACTGTAAGCTGACGTGAATAGTGTATTTTTGTAGCAGGAAGTGCATAAACTTTTGATATGTAGGGGTCCAAATATCCAACTGATAACACGTTTAGTATCAAAATATACAGGCCGGCACGGTGGTGTAGTGACTAGCACTGTGGCCTCACAGCAAGAGGGTTCCTGATTCAATTCCAGGAGGGAGCTCTTCTGTGTGGAGTTTGCATGTTCTCCCCGTGTCAGCGTGGGTCCAAAGGACATGCAGGTTAATTGGTGACTCTAAATTGTCCGTAGGTGTGAATGTGAGTGTGAATGGTTGTCTGTCTCTATGTGTCAGCCCTGTGATAGTCTGGCGACCTGTCAAGGGTGAACCCAGCCTCTAGCCCAATGTCAGCTGGGATAGACTCCAGCCCCCCCGCGACCCTCAAGAGGATAAGCGGTTACGAAAATGGATGGATCAAAAATATACAGTACTTCAAGTACCAAAAGTCAAAGTATCTATCATGCAGGTAGAATAGCCCATTTCTGAGTGATATGAATTATATAACTGCACTACAATTTTAATGCATTAATGTCTTCACCACTTTAATGTTGTAGTGGGTAAAGGTGGAGCTTATTTTGGAGTATCTCAAAAATTGTGCTTAAGTACAGTAAATGTATTGTACTACTGACCCTAGACAGGAACACCTGACTTTTGCTGTTCAAAGCAATAATGGCAGAAAGCGACAAAATAATTTTTGTGTGTGGACTGTAGGCAAATCGTGTCCCTCAGAGTTATTTTGTGCAGCCCCCAAACATGACATGAAATTAATGCCTTATATTTATAATATTTGGGGTCCATTTCAATACTTTAACTTTCAGCAAGTTAGATTTAATACACTGCTAAGAGACTGCATCAAACTGCACACCCCCTAACAAGTGTCCGTCAGGTTAGGGATGACAACCTGTAAAAAGCTACTGGCTGCATGGTCACTAGCAGCTCTGTTAGCTAAAGGTAGCGATGTCAGTGGGACTCGGTCATTAAAACTTTGAGCACCTCAACTTAAAATGCACAAGTAAACTACAAAAAACAGTGCTGATGAATTTGAAAGTTACTGAGAGAGAATGTGGTCAATCATGACTAACCGACACTGGCTGTGTCTAATCAGCAAAACAATCTCTCTTTAATTAAAGGAAATGTCCACACAGCTGCTGGCACTATGTCACACTCAAGTGCACTCAAAAAGCAATTTTAAAAAGCTCGCAGGTCATTTCTGCAGGCTGTTACTGCTATTACTCATGACAAACAACACTGTGACTGCTCTGTGGCCCGGCAAGTTCAACGGCAGAGAGGTCAAAGAGCCGCCTGTGACCTCTTTAGGTTCTGACTGACTGTTAAGTTCAGTGAGTGATGACATCCTGGTGTGTGTAAGAAAACCTGAACATGAAGGTTGTTTCCGATTCGTACATATTTCACATTTCACACAATTATCCATCATGACAGGAGACATTTACACGATGCACTGGTGATACTTACAGGATGTAGGTTATCACGCCGACACTCCTAAAGAGAAGCAAGGAGACAGAAAGAAAAAGAATATAGTTGTGCACTCTGATTGCAGTGAATCATGCAAAACATACATTTACTTAACAGCAGATGTTCTTCAGAATTATGATTTCAAACAGCGTATGCACACAATGCTTACTGTAGAGCAGACTGAGTTCTTGTTTACTCACCACATGTCTGCCTCCAGGCCTAAAGGTTCATAGTTGACTACCTCTGGAGCTGTGAGGCAAATGAACAAAACAGAACATGATTAATATTCAGGTCAGCATGCAAACAACAAACCCACACCACAGACACCAACTTTATCTTTGATTTAATGTTCTCTCATTATCTATTTTCCCTCAAAGATAAATTTACTTATTTTCTTCTTGTGGTGACTTTTTGATGAATTTTGTTTGAGCTTGTTCTCACATTCAGATCTTTCAGTTTCTTTAGAGGTGTTGGTTTATGAGCCGCTGTGTTTTTTTTAATAACACCTGCTGGAAGTGTGATTATTTTTCTTCCTTCTCTCTCTTGTCACATGTCCTCAGATGTGTGAAGACCGTAATTGAAGATGAATCAGTGCCTTCATTTCTAATCAAATTAAAACAAACAGGTCTGATTGGAAACAGGGATTCTGTGGGAGAAAGGATCCAGACCCTGTACCTGCACCTCCGTATGACACTAACATTAAACAAGTATTATATCACTGCTGGAAAGATCGTTCTTTCATAAAACAGCAAATACTTTTGAAATACATGCTACATGACCAGAAAAAACTGAGATAAAGGGCTGTGGCATTCGCTTTTGCTCAAGAGGTAGAAAAACTACAACTACCAGAATGCACTGCGCTGTACCGAACCAATAAACACTCCTGCTGGTAGGTGAATTAATGTGAAGGCAAGAAATTTGAAAATTTGATCAGCGCTGCTTAGTTTTATAGTTTGATCTCAGTATTTTCAGCCTGTGTTTTCACTGTGTGGGAAAAAGTATGGCGCCCACTACCTGTTCATTATAGCCCCGTTTCCACCAAACACTTTCGTATGGTACCTTTGGAACCAACAGTAACCCTTCAGACATGGTACCTTGACCCTAGCGTTTCCACCGCAAATAGTACTCTTAAATGTGGGTGGGGTTGTTGTCACTCACTGCTCCGTCCAGCACTCACTGTATTTCCTCATCAGCGGTGACACAGATGGAAGTCTGCACCTTGTTTATCGTCCACAGAACGAGGCTGCACGCCGACATTTTCAGAACAAAATAAAACGGTCTGCAGTGAGAGTCTCTCTCCATGGGATATTAAAAAATAGTGGGTTTGTGCATTTAGTCCTTCTCAGGCAAGCTCAGGGGTTTAGTGTTGCTGGAGCCCACAGGAACAACACTCCACAACGCTTTTTTATTCTCTGAGTGAGGATTAAAATATATGTAGTTCACATACTCCAATTGAAACATATTTAAACGCTTAAAGATCCACTCATTACTAAAAGTGTTTGTCATATAAAAACTAAAGTAATGGTCAAAGTTGTCATATGGAATATTTAAAGACGCTGTATGTAAGAATGTGGCCAAAACGGTTACTGCACTCAAATTCAAAATACTGCCGCGAGTCGTGTCCGCCCCCCCTCCCCTACAGATTCAAGGTTGCTGGACAGCGGCACGCTGGAGACTGATTTGTTTGCCCATGGACGGCTGCCGTGGCAGGGCCGCGTCGCCGCGTCCTTGATCTTCGGTTTTCCAGCGGACCATTTGAGCAAGTCCGGCTTCTCTGCTGCTAACGCTGCTGCTGGGATACAGCTGAGGAGACTGCTAATGCTATGTACTGGGACACTGCTAATGCTGCTTGCCGTGCTGCTGTAGCTCAGTCGTAACTGTAACTGATGCTGAGACTCTACTGACTGTGTGACTGGTAGATGGCGGTGGGTGGCGCAACAGGCCAAAACACAAATTCAAAACATAAACATGATTTGCAGACCGTAAAATATTTTTTTAAATGCGAATATTCTGGCCGTACTATTGTTGTCAGTGAGATCAGTATGTTATATGAACATTATTCCTTAGTCTCTGCGACATATTAGGATGATTTTATGACTATTTGCTTTAGATTTCTTACATATAGCTCCTTTAAAGTGTGTTGATGGATTCATGTCATGATCTCATACATTGAGTAACATTACAAGTTAATGTTCCACCTTAAAAGTCACCGGCAGTCGGCCCAGTGAATGAGCTGCTGTGAGAGGCAGCAACACATCCTTTCATTTTATAGTTACAGTTTACTAATAAAACTCTCCACAGTATGAACAGTGGTTACATGATCCTCAAAATCAGACACAACTCAGCCCTGAGCAGAGTGACCGTCCTCTACTGACCAACCAGACTGCAGCGTTCACAGCTCCACCTTTTAGTACCAGATCTGTGTGCTAGGTACCCCAACAGAGGGGGGACGGTACACAACGGTTCCACTGGTACCATCCACAACTTTAAACAGTGGAAAAAAAGTGCACCGAACTGAAATGAACAGTACTGCTTGGTGGAAACAGGGCTATTATAGCTAAACAGGGCACTAAATATGTTCCTGCAAACATTTTAGGCAAGAAATAGGCAATGCAGTAACATAATCTTGATTTATATTGTTTCATTGCCTAGTTTTACCGTTGTTTCTTGATCTGCTTCTATACTATTTGTAGCCGTGGTGGCAGGCAACACAAAAATGCAGAAGTACAGCCTGTAGTTCAGGCAACAGCCAGGGACAGCCAGCTAAACTCTGCTGAATGAAGTGCTTTGCGTCATCTGGTGGAGTTTCACCAGAGTGGGGATATCTAGGCACTGGTTTAGTGTTAAAATTACTACATTTTGTCACTCTAGTTTTAGTCTGTCTTACTTTTATTTAGGGGACAATCATGCATTCGTGTTGAAACTACAGCTCCAATAGTTTGGGGGATCTGGGGGACATTGCTATGGAGTCAATTAGCTGTGGATTATAACCATTTTTTAGCCAGAACCTGTTCACATTTGAGCACATCAGCACCATTAAAAGAATGCTGAATAAGCTACTGGTAGCTCCTGTTTGCAGTGTACCCACGGATGTACAGACAGTTATCACTAGATTACTTCGACACTGTCGAAAACATGCCGGATCTCTGGCAAGTTCTCAACATATAAGTAGCATCTTTTTAAAAATGATTTCTATGTGGATTTATGGACATTTATTTGCTTAAAACATCTGTGACAAGGATATCCTTGGGAAGTGTTAGTCACACTGAATCCACAGTTATGCGTATCATGTCTAAGTATTCATGTTTGACTGATGTATGACCTCACAATTTGAAAAACTGGTGTACAACTAACAAAAAAAGCAGATGCTGGAAAGACAAAGGCAAAAGTAAGACTCATAAATCATATTGCCTTGAATTTATAAAGCATTTTAGTTACAATTTTCATTTTTTGTGGAGATATTGAGCCATACTTTCAGCTTTCTGCTGCTTGATCTTAATTTAGACCATTTGACCGCTGCCACCCTGCTGAACTGGGAACAGGCCCTGGTCTTGGCCTGGATAATGCTGGTGGTGAGCACTGGCATCGAAGCAAGGGGAGAGGCTGGTAGTGTTGGCGGCTGCCTCGGGCAAAGGGGTAGGTGAGGGGAGATGGGACAGAGCCACTGATGTGTCTATTAGTGCGTGTTTGTGTTGGCAAGAAGGAGCTTTCTGATAATCTCCAGTCTATTATCAGGTCTCTCTCACTTAGTCCCTTTGGCACCTGCTCTCACAATACGCAACCTCTGGGATAAAGCCAGGAGAGCAGGGTGGTGCACTGTGTGTTTGTGTGTGCATAGTATTGAAAGGATGGAGGGCATATTTGCACAAACTCCCCTGAGCAGAAGCTGTTTAAACTAGTCAAGGAAATAAGACAGAATCACGATTCTTCAGGGAAGCACATGCAAAGAGATACTGACCTACAAATTCTGGAGTTCCAAAAATGTTTTTAAAATCATTGCCAAAATCTATCTTGTGGGCCAGGCCGAAGTCAATGAGCTTGATGCGCGGGTGAGGCACAGAGCGGTTCAGCAGCATGATGTTCTCCGGCTGGAAAGACAGAAAAAGAGAGACAATTACAAAGGTGAGAGAGGAAGGACAGACAGAGGCAGGGGGAGGTGGAGTAACACTGGACATCTTTATAAGGACCAGACTCTTTACTGACCCTGTCTTTTTCAAGTCTTATTAGCACAGTTTCAATGATGGACAGTTAAGATACTTGCAGAGAAATTAAGGGGCAAATAAAATGATCAGTGTCAGACACAAACTAGGTGTAAACAAGGGAGCGAGCAGCAGAGTCGGACACAAAACCAGGAACAGGCTGGCAGGAAGGAGGCTCATCAGCCATGGAAATCCCATGCAAAACACGAGTAAAAACCTCTCGAGGAAGTGGGAGAAAGGAAAGGACAGGCAAAGATGTGCTTTAAGCAAAGCCAAACAACAGAAGCCGGACATTCCTGAGGACACAATGGCTCTTTTTAGACGAAGCCATCTTCCCTCCAAACCTCGTCCTTTCAGCTCGACTGTGAGCCGAGCTCAAGGATTTAGTCTGGGAAGGAACAAGAACAGATTGAATGTGGGCAGCAGTGGCAACAGGAGGCGCTGAGAGAATCTGACTCCAGCTCGGCTCGTTGGTTTTATTCTCTACAAACACTGATATGCTTATGTTAATGCTGGAACCAAGAAGACTGATATCAGATGAACACCTTAAATCCAGGGGTGAATGTAACGAAGTACATTTACTCAAATATTATACTTAAGTTCAAATTTGAGGTACATTACTTAAGTATGTCTTTTCAAGGCACTTTCTAATTCTACTCCACTACCTTTCAGATGGAAATATTGCACTTATTTTTTACTACATTAATCTGACATCTTTAGTTACTTTATAAATTAAGATTTTTGCACATAAAACATACAAAAAACATTTAAAATATGATGTTTTTATAGACTAAATCACCTAACAGTATATACAAGATCAACTGGAACAAATTAGTTGAATGACTGAAAATTAATTGGCAACTATTTTGATAACTGGTATTATCTTTCATGTTAAAACATTTCATTTCAGTTTCTCAAATGTAAAGATTTGCTGCTTTTCTTTTCTTTTTTATTTTTTCATGATTCTAAATTTTGTACAACTGGATAGACAAAACCAACATTGTGACCACTGGGCATTTTTCATATTTTTTAGAATTTTTACAAACCAAAAAATCAATGAAATATTGGAGAAAATAATCCAGAGATTAATCCATAATGAACATAATAATCGGTTACAGTTTTATACAAAATAATTGAAAATGAGCTCCAACTCAACCAAATACTAAAATAAAATCCTGTTTTTACACAAATGCATGATAACAATAATCTAATGATATTATATAACATAGCACAACCGTCGCAGGGGACATTTTTCTGCATTAAGTACTTTTACTTTTTATACTTCAGATAAATTGTCCTGATTATACTCACATATACTATACATGTACTCACAAAGCTTAGGCAACTGTAACTCAACACCTCACTGTGCATATGGATCTTTGACTTCCTGACAGGCAGACCCCTGGTGGTGATAAAAGGCTGACACACCTCTTTCACCCACATTCTTAACACCGGAGCACCCCAGGGCTGCGTTCTGAGCCCCCTGCTGTACTCCCTGTACACACACAACTGAATAGCCACTTCAGACTCCAACAACACCAGTGAGTTTGCTGACAAAGCTACTCTTGAACGTCAGCAAAACTAAGGAGATGATAGCGGACTTTGGGAAGAAGCAGGGAAGGAACTACACCCTCCTCTATACCCTTAGTGAAGATGGTACATAGCTTCAAGTACCTTAGTGTTCACATCACTGAGGGCCTGACCTGGGTGCTGCATACTGACCCGTGGTGAGAAAATCGAGGCAGAGACTGCTTCACCTTAGACGCCTGAGGAACTATCCCATCATATACTAAGGATTTTCTGCTCCTGCACTATTGGGAGCGTCTTGACGGGGAACATCACTGCCTGGTACAGAAACAGCAACAAACGGGACTGCAAGACCCTGCAAAGACTGGTTTATTCTGAGCATACTATAGGCCCTGCTTTACCCTGCCGAAAGGATGTATTCTGGAGGGACTGCAAAAGTAAGGCCAGGAGAATCATTAAAGATCACAACCATCCGAATAACTGCCTTTTCTTCCTGTTAAAGTTGGCAAGAAGGTATCAGCACTAGGCCAGCAAAGAAAGGCTAAGAAGAAGCCTCTACCATCAGGCCACAAGGATCCTAAATGAAGACCCTACCTAAGAATGTCCAATCTGATATTATTACAGTCTTTTTAATGCACATATTGAATGAAGTGACAGCTACGTTTCACTGGAATTATATTTTATATGATTTCACTTGACAAATAAATTGATTACTTGTAACAGAGTATTTCCACAGTGGCAGTTTTACTTCAATTAAGGACCTGAATAACTCCTCCACCATCATGACCAAAGAGCTATTTTCAGTGAAGTAGTGTGGCTACTTGTACTGCAAGCTCAATAACCCAAAACATGCCTCCCCACAAATCTCTCCATGGCATAATGAAGATCACAAGGATTAAAGCAGTATTCAGAGTATTAGTAAACAATGATACAATAGGAAATCAAAATTTGGGGATTTTCTTTACAAGCTGGGTCTTTTCAAGTGTTTTCTATTAAAAGTACAGCTGGAGTTAAATCCCTCTGGTGCTTCAGTTCAGATACAAATTGTGTTTTAGATGAGTCAGACATCATTAGTCTGATCTGCCCAACATATTAAGCTCTTGAGCATATAAGTACATTGATTAGAAATGTTACTGTCTCTGTACAATTGATTTGACTCAAAAATATAAGTTGCTCACATTTCAAACTGTGTGATGGCAGAAAACAGCTTGTATATCTCTCCCTGAATGTCTATGAAGGCTGTTATGCTATTGTTGTGGCTTCACAATGTCCACATAATAAATATAAATAGCCTTGAACTAAAATTGTCACAGGAGAACATCACAAGCAAAGACAGCTGCCAGCCTATGGTGTTGAATACTGCAGCATTGCAGAAAGCCATTCAACTAAACAAATTAAGTCTTAAACTGAGCCACTGCTAGACAGTGAATAACAGCAGCTGATATGTGAAGCGGAGGCTGCAGTGGTTGGTAAAAGCTCTAGCACTGATCACAAGTGGCTGGCTGGGCACAGAGGTTATTATTTTCTGCAAACCTGGAGGCTGAATGTCCTGAACTCCAAGGGATGATTTGTGAAGATTATTCTGTAAGTGGAGGAGTCGGTCTGGACTGTTTATTCTGAAGACGCCACATGTGCAGCAGTAAGTGGACAACTGATCAATGATATCGATTCATATTTGAGTAAAGAACTACCACAACAATACACCAAACATCAAGGTAATGTTGAAGAACGTCACGTACTGCATGGCATCGGTGCTGTGAGTACACTCTGACCTTTACTCTTCCTCGCGCAGGAGTATTAAACAGAACATGCACCATAATAAAAAGGAGAGAGTCCAAAATAAGTCAAAACTGATTAGTCATGGTAATTAGTCTCAGATGCATTGGCTCAGAGAACATAAATACAAAGAGAAGCTGATATAAAAAGGAGAGGTCGAAAAAGAGGCAAGCTGATGCAAACAACAAACATATATTCGCATAATAATGCAAATCCACTTCTCCAGTGAGCTGGCATTTTGGAGAATGGATGTGAACTACTCCAGGCAGCTGAACAACGGGCAACACTTTACTGTGACCTCCGATAAGAGGAGAACATTATGGAGGGTTTTGTCTTTTCAAAGAAAATATGCAACCGTGTTGTCTGATACGACCTTGAGCAAAATTGCTGTCATCATCTTCTGTGTGCAAAGTGTTTTCATGGAAATGTCACAATCATCACAGGAGTGGATCTCTTCTTCTCTCAAATTACACAATTCTGTTTTGGTTCTTATTTTGAGGACGTTACCAAGCCTAATCACTTCAAAGGCCTCATTTGCATTTGTTGAAATGTCTGAAACTAATGATCTATGAAGGACAAGCGCATGAGGTAAGTGTCTGTTGCTGTGTCCAAACTTAACTCTAATATCCATCCATCCATTTTAATTCGCATATCCAGAGCTGGGTCGCGGGGGCAGCAGGCCAAGCAAAGCAACCCAGACGTCCCTCTTCCCAGCAGCGCTTTCCAGCTCCTCCTGGGGGACCCCAAGGCGTTCTCAACTGACCCCTTTCGACGCGAAGGAGCAGCGGCTCTGCTCCGAGCTCCCTCCAGATATCCAAGCTCCTCACCCTATCTCTAAGGCTGAGCCCAGCCACCCCACAGAGGAAACTCATTTCGGCTGCTTGTATCTGTGACCTCATTCTTTCAGTCACTACCCAGAGCTCATGACCATAGGTGAGGGTTAGGACGTAGATGGACCAGTAAATCAAAAGCTTCGCCCTCTGGCTCAGCTCCCTCTTCACCACGACGGTCTGGTGCAGTGCCCGCATCACTGCAGATGCAGCACGAAACCGCCAATCCATCTCATGCTCCATTCTACCCACACTTGTGAAACAAACACTAAACACTAATATACTGTACATAATATACTATATACTTATTTTCACAATACACAGTTATTGCAGTTAGTAAAAAACAAGTCAGCCATTTAGTTTTGTGGTCCCAGTTTTCTGTACCCTGGCTCACTGTCACACTGACACACTGACATGACTAACTTGTAAAGGGTTGACCCATTAATTGGTTTGGCCAATTAATCTTTGTGAGTGTGTCTGAGTGTATTGTTTTTTACTTTAACATGTATTCATATGACTTATTTTGCTTAAATTAAATGCTCTAGTTTCAAATTAAAAGCCCTCCAGTGATTCCTACACAGTCCAGCAATATACTAGGATTTATCTTTGTCTTCTTTTTTGTTTTATGAATCTTAGATAAATTATTTTGAGTATTTGGAAAATACAAAATTACTCCACTCCAACGTATTTTGTTACAAATTACATGTGACATTTTTACAAAACCAGTTACCAAATACTTAAAAGTAACTGAAATTCATATTTCAAATACAAGCAACAGAAATCAGCCAGCTCTGATTATCATTTTTCATGGAGGTTTTATACACCAAGTTAAGGTAATGTCACTGTGTACCTGAGAATCTCCGGTTGACTGCAAGGATTTTTTGCGGTTGATTTTATGTTCAGTAGAATATTTATTTGGGTATTTCGACTTAGATGTTCAGTTCAACAGCTATACATTTTCTAATAAAGATGGTTAAAGGCGCTGTATGTAAGAATGTGGCCAAAACGGTTACTGCACTCAAATTCAAAATACTGCCGCGAGTCGTGTCCGCCCCCCCTCCCCTACAGATTCAAGGTTGCTGGACAGCGGCACGCTGGAGACTGATTTGTTTGCCCACGGGCAGCTGCCGTGGCAGGGCAGCATTGCCGCATCCTTGATCTTCGGTTTTCCAGCGGACTGTTCGAGCAAGTCCGGCTTCTCTGCTGCAAACGCTGCTGCCAGGATACAGCTGAAGAGAAGCAGGCTGCTAATGCTATGTACCGGGACACTGCTAATGCTGCTGCCGGGATACAGCTGAGGAGAAGCCGGCTGCTAATGCTGTGTACTGGGACACTGCTAATGCTTCTTGCCGTGCTGCTGTAGCTCAGTCGTAACTGTAACTGATGCTGAGACTCTACTGACTGTGTGACTAGTAGACGGCGGTGGGTGGCGCAACAGGCCAAAACACAAATTCAAAACATAAACATGATTTGTGGACCGTAAATATTTTTTTAAATGCGAATATTCTGGCTGTACTATTGTTGTCGGTGAGATCAGTATGTTATATGAAAATTATTCCTTAGTCTCTGTGACATATTAGGAGGATTTTAAGACTATTTGCTTTAGATTTCTTACATATAGCTCCTTTAATTCCCGAAAATGTCAAATTCGGAGGCGGGAGGGAGGGGAATGGAAGGTGTTGTTAGTGGTGACATTGGCAATCAGCTATCGTTTCTTGCTGCTCCAAGTTATCTTAATTATACTGGCCTTTCAAAATGCAGTTCAACCTCTACTTAGCGGGACACTTGAATAGAACGGAGCCATCTTTGAGGCTATTTGTGACATCTGTGCTTTTTCACTTTGAGACGTCTGCTGTAAAAAGAACTATTGTGCATTGTATTTTGGAAAAATAACGTCTCCAACAGAACACTTACAATCAGATAGACTTAGCATGACTTCCTAGCATATGCTTATGAAGACAGCAGCTATCAAATGTGCTCCATTAATCATTTAGAGATCGGAAAATATAGAAAAATGCCCATTATATGTCATTGTTAATTTCTTAGGTGGGGACCAGTGAAGGATTATCTCATCTAATTATTTCTCACACCCACTGTGGCATCTTCAAATCAGTCAAAACCATAAGATATTCAGTTCACTCTCATTTCTACACCATGATAGGGCAAAGAAAAGCAGCATATCCTCACATTGGAGAAGGTGGAACTGGAGACAGTTTGGTATGACTAAACACTTTAAATTGATGTACAGACTTGGAACACAGTTTTGGTTTATGGTATGTTATCAGCGTGTGCAGCTGACTGAACAGACAATATCTAAAAACCTGCAGTACTCCTGCTTGGATTACATGTCTGACAAAGGGAACATCGAACAGGGATGGTGTTGTTTATCTTTAGTTGCTGCAGTACCTTGAGGTCAAAGTGAGCGATTTGTTTGGTGTGCAGGTAGAAGACTCCATCCAGGATCTGCTTGAGGAACTGGGTGGCCTCCTCCTCGCTCAGCGACTCCTTCTCTGCCAGGAAATCGAAGAGCTCACCGCCGGCCACGCTGGACGAGGAGAGACAGAGACAGAGAGAGGGAGGGAGAGAATTAAAATGTGAGATCCCTCAGATGAGAGCCAACCACAAATCCCTGCTTATCAGAGCTGAGCTGATGTAATCTAATCATCCTGGTGCATTAGAGCCCGACCAATTTACACATCCCAATAACGTTTTAACCAGCGCTGCTCTCTGTAAACTTCTATAATGAAAACCCTTCATTAAAGTCAACAAACTGGAGGATATGGGAAAAAGGAATATGCCCAAATGTTTGAGCTTAGTTTGTTTTATTGGAATATTTAAAGCTTTTCTCAAGTTTTTGCACCATTATTTCATTTTAAAATAAGTAAGGATCTTGGAGGAATAATAATCAGGGTATGAAGAACATTAGCAGGAAGCAATAAATAAGCTCAAATGTGATCATTCACTGAATCATGAAAACATTTAGCAAATTAAAATCAACACCATTTGCCTGAGTGAACATAATTACAGCACAAAAACAGTGAAATATTGGGACTAAATCCCATCTGATCCATGAAGTTTAATGAAAAAGACTGACCCATTTCTGGCTAGTTTGGGGGCATGAACATTTTATCATACAAAACTGACTAATATTAATACAGTTTTTGGTGTCTTGGCTATTTAATCCTGTCAGAATCTAATATTGTTTCTTATAAAATCCCCTTTTAAAGCCTGTTAATATCAGTATCAGCACTCACTAACTACTACCAACATCTTACCTTACATTTTATCTTATCTATCTATCTAATGAACTAGCACTTAAAGGTAGAGAAGAAAAAGTAGAGATAAGGAAATGAAGCAAGCAGAGGATTTATCACGGTCACAGCATGAGTGAAAGCCTGCCGCGAGGGGAAGTGTGACGATAAAGAGAGGAGAGAGGAAGAGTGCAGATAACTGTAATTACAGCCATGTTTATCCAGTCGTTGAGTGTTCACTTACAATACACTGTACAAACACGTGCTTGTCTTGCCATATAAATAAATAAGAAATGTAAGTCACACTTTAATTACTTTCATTTTAGTAGCCAATTCTCCATGTTCAAAGTTACATCTATTCAATTATCATTTTATCGTCTTATATCATATGAAATGTAACTTTATTTTACAAAAATTACCACCAAACAACGCCTTATCAAATCCTACAAACACACACGTGCACAAACACACACACTACTCCACCCTTCAGGGAGGAAACACCAGACCAGCTGCACAGCTGGGACCTCCGCCTCCTCCTCCCACCAAACACACACTCTGTATCTCGAATGTTTATTTCATCATCTGCTTCAGCGGTTACCAGGGTGTTCACGCACAATCACAGACAGTAGAGAACATTTCAGCCCAATCACGTCACCTCTGCCTTATTTCACACGCGGCTGGTCAATGTTTAACGTCAAAGTTGACGACTGTCACTGTTGCGGTTGTATTTACCCAGGGTGCAGCGGGAGGAGGAGAAGATGTGGAGGACAAAGGGACACAACGTGAAGCCAAACATTTTTAGCATCCAACGTGTAACCTGTTGTTTTACCTGCCTAGGGCTGGAAGTGCTAGCATGATGTCATACTACAAGCTTTGAATGCTAACTGTGATGTGTGCAGAGCATGTAACTGTCATCATCTAAATAAATAACCACTTCCTCCAGTAGATTACATGTATTAGATTAAAGGAACCCTTCAACCCACAAATGATCATTTGTGTGTCAATTGCTCTCCCTTTGATATCACTTCAGGAATTCAGGAAGAAAACTCTTGCATGCCTCCACTGTGAACGAACAATCCAAAAACTGATAAAATTCTTGATTACCTAAAGTCATAGGGGTTCGGTTTAACAACAGATAAACTATATCAGAGCATCCATTTATCCAAGTCTCACTTATCCAGCTGTATACTTCTTCGTACTGACAGTTCTCACAAAGGAAGACAATCATGAGACATTCATGATCTTGTAATGACTTGACTGAAAGTTGTGACAGGGTCTGACACCACAACTGCCAGAGGCTGGAAGAAGTTGTCTTTAGCGGTTTAAGGAATACTTCAGCGCCTGAATGATCATATGTCAGTTACTCATCCCGTGTTACATTGAATTCAGGAAGAAAACCGGTGGATGAAGAATCCAAAACCAGAGAAAATTCTTGATGAATATAAGTCGTAGGAGTTTACGTTTAAATGCATGTGTTTGGGAAGTATGAAGCAAAAAACTGGATAAATGAGACTTGGATTATACCGCATGAGTTGTGTCAGAGTTCGTAAACAAATGTTTTGACATAGTTTTGATGTTAAACGTTAAATGCAAACCCATAAGGCTTCAATACACTGAGACTTTTCTCCGTTTTTGGATTCTTCGTCCACTGGAGGCATGCAAAAACAACAAAGTCTCTTCCTAAATTCAACACAACACAGGATGAGTAATCGACATACAGATGATCATTTGGGTGTTAGTGTATCCCTTTAACCACTGAAGACAAATTCTCCCAGTCTTTGGCAAGTTGTGGTGTCAGACCCTGTCACAACTCTCAGTCAAGTCCATAACAAGATTGTCTTAGGCACACACAAAAAAACAAGTTAATGGCTATCCCATCCCATGATTGTCTTCTTTTGTGTGAACTGTCAGAAGTCACAGAGTATTAATGGTATAAGCTTGGCATTAACACTGAGTCATCATCGCCTGCCTGCTCATGTAACTGAAACAGGATCACTCCCCCAACAAAACATGATCCTCTTTGGTTAGCAATGGTTTCCTGAGTTTGTATTTGGCCTTTTCAGACCATCTTTGTTTTGCCCCTAGTGTGTGCGGTGTATCACGCACCGTTGGCACTAGTAGGCCCTGTAGGAAAAGCTCCCTTCATTTAAACATTTCAATACATAGGGTTGTCCTGGCTCTAAAAACCATAAAGTACTGCAAAGAATAAATTGAAATAAAACAAAACAAAATAAAACAAAATAAAATAAAATAAAATAAAAATAATTAATTAAATACAATAAAATAAAAAAAACAAAAAATAATTAATTAATTAAATACAATTAAATACAACAAAATAAAATATAAATAAATTAAATCAAATGAAATTTTTAAAAAAAATTAAAAAGAGCAAGTACCCATATCAGGTCAAAGAACTTGTGACATATGGGTCAAGGATGTGACATGTAAATTTTCTGTCCCTTACTTTTGGCAAAAGCTATAAAAATACATTCGTCAAACCTACTGTGTCATGTCTGGGCATTTAATAAGTCTACAAGCTACACCTCCTGGGTTATATTTCATCTTCTACCTGTGCCCCCGTCCATAGCACGTCTACACAAACGCAGCCTGACTGACATAACAATGAGAAACAACTCATATGAGCTCCTCAGGGAGCAAATCCTATCAAATGGTTGTCAGTGGCTCAGAGTGCATCTTTCTGGGAGTGTTTGACATGAATAAGTTTGGGGATCCATGGGCTAAATCACCGTGACAGGTCAGGAAAATAAACTGCAGCGTCTCCACAGACAGCAGACCACAAGATATGTTATAAGATTATAGATCATTTAACATTTTTCAAATGCTGAAGCTTCCTTTGAACCAGTGTGACCAACTCTTTCCCAATGACAGTAGCTAGCAGTAGCTTCAAGAGCTGCTAAAATGTGCCAGATGACACTATAAAAAAAGTCGTAGCGCATTCATCTGGGATAATGGAAGCATTTTACAACTTTGCAGATAAATATCCTCAACAAAACATTTGAATGCAATAGGAGCATTCTCTCTTCCAACCCAGAGAGTAAGCATGTCAATGTAACGATCCAAACTCCCACTGTGCGGTGAGCGGCGTCTCCTCCTGCCTGGCCCACACCCACTGACTAACTGCACGGTGGTGTTGCCAAAAATATCATGATCTCGACACATATTGATTCTGAAAATTTGAAGCAGTTTAAAATGCTCTTTTTCTTATTGTACATGTTTACTACAGTCCTGCTACAACCAAGAAAAATTGTTGTTGTCATGGTTTAGCCTTTAAAAATTGTATATCCATCAATGCCAATTTTCCACCTTGGTGTTAAAATGATATCGAATACAATTATTTTCAAGGGATAGACTGCGCTGTTAGCAGAGGAGCCATGGACGGCGATTACTCTGAGCATCATGCATGGGAATGAACAATGTTGGAGCCAAAATGTAGTTTTGTTTGTCTATTCTATCCTTATCTTAACAAGGTAAATATAAATATACACATGCAGATATCAAACTGAACACAGGGTGGAGCATTCATGTGTGAAGTGTATATAGATGAGCTCCAGGTAATGGGAATCAGGTGTGTGGAACACGAAGCAAACAGTTTTTGATGGTGTTACGGAAGCATGTTGATAAGCATGAAGTGTCGGCGTGGAAAACTTAATTTGCTGAATGGAATAATGGTTTATTCTTAACCCAGAACATGTGACCAGAACACGTTAACCCGTTCACCCCTCAGTGGCTTGTTTAGACACTTGTGGAGGTGTGTCACTTTCAAAATGGCTTCTCATTGTAATCCATTGCTGTCACCCAACTGTGCTCACTACCAAGCATATAAAATGTTTCCTTGAATCCTGTCCACCCTTTTGCACCCTGACAAAGAACTTATGCTACTGCGTACCTACGACACAGAGGGCTTTGCGGAGGCGTTGCGTCCCTCTGCTACCAATGCAGAGACACGACGTGCACCTCCAAAAAATTTTAACCACGCGTAGAGGCAACGCAGACCACAAGAGCTATGATTGGTCCTTCAAACTACATCATTTCCGGCATTTTGCAATGTTTCACTTCCTGCTGCAGCGTGACATATTCGCCCGTAGTCTGCCTCAAGCCATTCAGCGCAGTCGCCTCTCTCTTTGTCACCACCGTAACATTTGTAATAAGAGCATTTGTTGTTCAATGTCGATCATTTCAAGCTCCAGCAACAGTCTTTCTCTCTCAGTCGCCATCTTCACTGTGACTAGAGCAAAGCCGGAAGATAAACAATGAATGAGCAATGACCATAGACGTCATAGAGTCTAGGTAGGTATATAACCAACAGGATGCAGTACTATGATAGGCACACAGCAACTGCAACACAAGACAGACTTGTGCTACACTTTAACAAACCATGCTACAACCCCATTTCCCGTGTTGCAAAAAAATACCTTAGTAACACAAAACCCTTTATTGAAAAACTTGACACAATTGAACAATGCAGCGTCGAAGTGAGCAATACCATCAGGGATGGCAAAGCTTGAAATGTGTGGGATACAGTGTGTGCTGTGGAGGTGTTATGTGGACGAAGCCAAACAACAGACAGGACGGATGCCAGCTGGAAGAGAGTGAGGGAGAGCTAATGGGCCAGTCTTATACAGGCGTTAGGGTCCACACAGATCAGGAAGACACATCACTGACAAGTCGACAAGAGAGACGTTCGGGTCTGGCTACCCCATAAAACAGCTGTGATAACCGGGACTACCCCACCTAGAGATCCCCAGCTGATGTTGCCCAACCAGTCATGAGCTGTTTCTACAATCTTTACGACCTCTGATGATGTCTAAGAACTGTAATTCTGGACAAATCTGACACAAGATCCTAAATGATTAAATAGTTTACAGAATACAACACAAAGCAGTCCGTTACTCAGTGAAATTAAATTTTGTTCATTCCCGTAAACCTTTACTCAGGGAGAAGTGGCTGCTCTTTACAACAGCTATTGGTTATAATTACTTGCTTTAAAAAAGGGGACCTTGGCAGTAATTGGAATTTTCTCAGCCACACTTGTAGGGGACATTATATGGAGATGACCAGTTCTTTGAAACTTAGCCTAATCAGAAGCAAGGAGCCTTTTAATGGCTTCAATTCAGGACAAATGTGACATGAAAATATTGACGCAAGGTCATAAATGATCAACTAACTTAGGGAATAGAATACAAAGTGTTTCGTTGCTCAGTGAAATTTGTCTTGTTCCTGTTAACCTTTAAAGAGAGGGAGAAATGGCTCAGCACAGTTGCTCAGCACAGTTGCTCTTTACAGCAGCTATTGGTTATAATGAGTTGCTTTAAAAGGAGAGCGTAGCAGTAATTGGACTTCTCGCAGCCACTCTTTCTTAGACGTTTGAAATCCAGCTCTCCATCGTGCGGGTTTATTCTGCCCGCACAAAGACAAGCTGATTTGTTTAACTCAAGAGAAAAGATGATCGATGGATCCTTCATAGTAGGTTAAATGACACAGTTTCAGCAGTGGTGCTATCAGACACTGAAAACTGTCCGCTCTTAAGCAGGTATCTTAAACTGGATTCAATTACATACATCACACATCACAGCTATTTTGATTTCTGTGGTATTAATGGGTAATACCATGAATTAATTTATGATAATTAATGGAGGTGACACTGTAGGTTAGTGTCACCTGCTCTTACAGGGTAACCATTATGCTCTTTCTCAGGTTCATATTTGTTTGTAGGTTTCTACTAGATTATTTTTTACATTTTTTAATAGTCGGAAAACACTTTATTTATTTTTATACACTCTGTTTTAGCACCTGGCTCTTAAAGCCCCCCCCAGCCCAGTCTGCTCTAAACATCTCTAGGTCTTCTGCAACACTGTTCTGAGGGTCTCTGCACCATCATCGCAGCTGGGAAAATTATTTAGTGGAGTTTAGCTAAGTGCACAAGAAGATAAACAGAAGTAAGGAAAGCAAACCATCGTATCAAAACAAATTTGATATATTAGGTAAGATTATTTTCTAGCTATTGAGCGCTTTGGCAGATCGTCATTGTTTGTTACTGTTCACTAGTGCATCGTAAACATCGGGTTGAGTTGTTAAAGTGTTAACTGGCTCACTAGCATCTTGAATCCATCCTGTCAGTCTTTCGATTTTACTTCGATTCATTCAGACTATCGCTGCCTGCTGGTATGGAGAGTTATGTCTACCCTCGTTGGCTGTACGTTCTGTGATGTGTTTGCTAGCAACAAGCAACGCGAGACTACGCAACAGTCAGCCTTTGCTTACACTAGTTCTCTAATGTCGGTTTGGTCGTGCCTGAAGAAGATGACCATATAAAGAAATCAGTCACAATTTGATTTCATCTTGTAGCAAAAGTTGTGCAAATCACATCAGCTCAAAAGCCTTTTGTGGGAAAGTGGTTCCAACTGTGGACGGGGTCGTAATTATTCGGACAGGGCACTGTAAATAACCTCAGACATTGCTATGCAACTGAATAGCATATTTCCATTCACAAATGTATTCAGACAGCTGATAACAGAGGTGATATTAAATGGAAATGGGACCAGTTTTTTATATTTTTACTATTTGAAAATGAGATTTAAAACCACATAAAGTTGTGCATTGGTCTAATCAGGAGCAGGGAGAGTTCATGTAGACGTCTTCTGGAACAAGAGCACTTGTTTAATGTTTTGGGAAAGAGGAAACTTCATTCAAAAATGTCTATAAAAGTCTGAGAGAAAGAAGACAACTTGATGTTGATGTTTGTTTTTAAAAACCTGGTTATTTTGACTTTAAATATAAATTCTGTGTTGTCTAAAACATCATTAAAACAGCTCAATAATAATAAATACGATTGTTTCTGTACTGCTGTGCAAAGCTTATGGCATTAATCGAAGGTTGTTACGCGTTCATTTTTATTCTGATTTTAACAATCACCCTCTGAAGCATTTAATCAAGCCTCACAAACATGGAGATGTTGCCGTGGTGACCTGCTCTACCACTTTATTGAGTTGGAAATGAGCCATGGACTTATTATTCATACACGCGCTGTGCTGTAGGCCCGGACTGGTTTTATGCTGGTGATTCCTTCCTTGTTATTCAATCGCAAGCGATCACTGGTCAGGAATGTTGTCCGGCAGCTGTAGTCCTTAACTTTACACTCATTACTGCTGGCTATAAGGTGACCTACTAATTTGAGGTGTACCCTGATCTGCTTTCATGCCTATTTGTTCTGAATAAGCGTGTCGGTGAGGTGATTGTAGTGTAAACGTGAATGATGTTACAGTGTTTGGAGTTCCACCTAACCTGGTAAAACTGGTCCAGCTGGTGCTTTGTGAGCTTTGTGCCAAACGACACCATGGACAGGTTACAGCTACAGGCAGAGTTTATAAACAACCTACTCTGAATACTGGTTACTATGAGGGCATTAATAACCATCTGACATTAATTTTAGTTTTGAAAAAGAACTCAAAAACAAGACACAGCAAAATTAGTGTGTATATGCATTTATTTAAACGTGGCAAAGCCTAGTAATAATAGGCAATAGACTGCGTTTCCATTGCCAGTAGATGAGTACACCAATTTAACTGGTGTGTCATGTTTGGTGTTTGACGAGCTAAAAAGTCAAAGCAGCATGGAGGCCAGTGAAAATGTTACAGTGGTCTCTTTTACTTTCTCAATCTCTCTTTCAAATAGGGTGCTGACAAATTTGGAACAATATGGAAGCTTTGCTGGGGCGGAGGCGGACAGATTTTGTGGGCTATGTGGGCTATGATCATTTTGAAATTTCATACTTTGAAGACCACAATAATTAGAAATGTCTAGATTATATCATTGATTCTGATAACATTTCATAAAGCCTGTCTTGAATCAGGCAAAATGATGGCAACACGTCTTGTTTTGTCAAAACGTGGTCAATGTTTTCAAATCCTTTGAAACAAGTCATGGATTTCCCCCCCCATCACATTCTAGGACTCTTACCTCACCATTTTGTAAAGGTTTCAATGTAATCATTTAAAAACAAAAATCTCAATTTGCCCAGTTGTGACGGGCACAGAGGAATAAAAGACGAGGTCACTCACAGCTCCAGGATCAGGATGACCTCCGCCTTGTTTTCAAAGACCTCGTGAAGCGTGATGATGTTGGGGTGCTGGATCTCCTTCAGGATGTTCACCTCGCGCTCGATGTCATCCCTTGTCACCCCCCGTCGGCTCGACTTGCTGCGCCGCTTCTTGATGGATTTGGCGGCGTACTCCACACCCGTGATCCTGTGCCGACATCTTCTGACCACGGCAAACTGGCCGCTAGTGAGGGGAGGAGAGGAAGAGATTGTCAAAAGGTGTCATCAAGCCTTGAAACATTACTGTGAGTACCTCTAAAGCTCAAAATTTGTTTGACCCATACAGCAGAGATGCTGGTACGCAGATTTTGTTTTTGTCAGAGCCAGGCTCGCAGTTTCTTGTCTTTATACTAAGCTAACTGGCTGCTGGCTACAGATGCATATTTACCTTATAGATATAAGAGTGGTCCATTATCTCATCAAACTCTCAGCAAGAAAGCAAACAAGTGTATTTTTTAAGATGTCTAGCTCATCATTATAAACAAATAAGACCAGTGCCAACATGAAAATAACGATGCAATATATATATAGAAACCAGAATCTGATGACAAATATTAAGAGGACAGCAGACAATACAACTGACAACATGAACAATAAACAAAAGACAGATGTGTATTGGAAACAGATCACAGTGAACTAATCAATCAGCTACAAGGAAACTCTAATGCTCAAGTGTTAAATTTCCTCAGGGTTCATCATTGTTCGCGAATACACAGACAGAAAATGACTTCAGGCTGTAGCTGTATCAGTTTCAATGTGGTAAACACAGACGTCTGAGCCAAAAGGAGTGGGCAGGATAATCAGGCATTAAAACGGTTGATCAGAAACAGCTTTAATTATTAACTGGCTGATGCATCATGGCCGACGCAGCCTTGAAGCAGAAATAGCAATGAAAACTGAATAAAGACACAAGTGTGTCTTCAGATCCAAATCAGGGGGACGCCAGGTCAACCTGTGGAGGCGTTTCAGAGACTTACTGAAATATTAAAACCCCCAAAATGAAACAATGATTAAAATGGATTATATCTATGTATATTTTCCTCTTTTTATCCCTGAATCTGTCTCTAATTACAGACGGAGCACCGAGCCAAGCAAGCCTCACTGTCTGCAGTGGAAAATGAGGGTATTCCTGCATCCATATACGTTACAAAAACACACCTGCCTCCACCCACAGCAACCCCTCATCATCAGTTTGACAACAGTGTGTAAATTATATCCAGGCAGCGCAGCCCTCACTGTCAGCAGCACGCTGATAAGAATCACAGCTCAGCACAACATCAACACAGCTGACAAACATCCAAGCAGTAACCCTACGCCCCACACACTCAACTGTTTAGAAAGCAAAAACCTTTCCTGCTTATATGAAATTCAATATTTACTACAGTTCAGTTGCATAAAAACATGTCAGTCTGAGAATATTACACTTTTGTACAGTAAGAAATAAACCTAGATATAAAGAGGTTACATATTAAGTTTTCAGATAGCCTGGGTTTGTAACTCAACTGTTCAAACTGCCATACCTCTTAATAAACTTGGATTTTGGCAGGACTGAGCACTTATGGTTATGTTTATGTGATATATTGGCAGCAGAAGCACCTGCATGTCCAATATAATTTAAAAACTTACTTGAAAGTGTGTTTGATTTCTATGATGTTAACAAAATCAAACTTTAACAGACTTTCTGTGTAAACTCTTTGCAAATTCTTTGGACTTGAAATGAGGAGCTGAAGCAATTAAAGTTGTTTACTTAATCAGAGATCAACAGAAATATCATCTGCAACAATTTTGATCATTTTGAGACATTTTTTAAACTAAAAATTCTGTGGTTCCAGCTCAGAAATTTCAATTTCTTCATCTTCTCTGATATTTAAAAAATGTGGCTTTTAGCCTGTCGGTGGAAAAAACAAGCAATTATGAAGATGTTATCTTGGCCTTTTGGAAACTGAGGGGGGCATTTTTCATTTTTGACATTTTTTAGACTCATGAAGCGGTAATATGACAAAAATGTTCCCCTCTGGGATATAAACAGCTGTAGCAACAAATGCATGTCTTTGTCTAATTTTGAACAAAATGATCAGATCCTAGAGAGAAATATTTCATCATTCATTTTAGGGTCCTTCCATATACTACAGTATTAACAGGCTGCAGCATACATGCTCATAGTTAAGTGGATATTAAAAAAAAATCTGTTTCAGCCTGAAGTGCACACATAAGCACTTTCACTGTCAAAGCAATCCAAATGTGGCGAGCCTGTGTGACATTTTAGCGTGACAAATTACTCGATGTATGAACAACACAGGAGCTGTTATGGAAATTCCACCATCATGTTGCCATGCAGCATTGTTATTGAACGCTGCTATCTGACTGGATAACGCTGACTCCACTGTCACTCGACCGACAACGCCAGAAAAACCACTCGGGGATGCAAGGACACTTGGCTGAGGGCTGTTGACGCCTCCGCCGATTGTGCCTCCTCACGGCCCTGGCAATCATGAGGCACTAAGTGTACCGAACACCCACAGAGGGAGGAAGAGAACAACGGAGTAGGGGGTGAGAGAAAAAGGAGTGAGAGAAAACGAGAGAGAGCCACATTCTGTCTCATCTCAGCCAGATTTTCACACAGATTTACAGCTTTATGGCAAGAGCTTCCTCTGCCTTGGCAAAAAAAAAAAAATGGCCACAACAAAGAGAGATCCCTGCGCTGTCATCTGACTCCTACAGTCCTGCCAAGACTAGAGTGCACAGTTGTCAGGAAGCAGTTTAGTAATTTAGCTATATGTTCCCACTCTAATCTTCTCTCTACAATGTGTCTCCCAACACTTGATGAGTAAATGCATGATCCAGACTACAATTCTGCTGGCTGCAGAGGAGCCTTATGGAAAAAAAAAAAAGGCCTCAGGGAGTATCAGTGACAAAAACATCACCCTACTCTGACCCGTGACTATAATGTGTCCCATGGGCCGATCAGTGGTGTCTGAGGCCACGTCCAAATTCATGAGGCTGAATCTGAAACTTCTGCGTCCACACTAACAGTTTCAGGTGATTGTGGAAGTTTCACCTGGCTAGGGCTGCAACAATTAGGCGATTCATCCTTTTAAGTCCTTTCTCAAGCAAACTTTTAATGGTTACAGCTTCTTACATGTGAAGATTTGGGGCTTTGCTTTGTCTTTGTGATCACTGATCGAATATCTTGGTAACTGGGACAAACATTTTGAGGCATTTTACAGACCAAACGATTAATCGAGAAATTATCTGCAGATGAATCGATGATGTATCACCTGTCACCTGCAGCCCTTTAACAGCTAAAACATGGGCGAATCTCTCCTTCCTGCTCTTTGGTTCTGTTCAACAAGCATGGCCCATGAGTTATTCCACTCACTCTAAGTGCCCTCAAAGTGGCACAGTGAAATGCATTTGCACATCCCTGCAAAGCAATTGGTGGTGGAAGGTTGGTGATGCAGTGACTACTTGTGGGTTGTGCAGTGGCTGCTACTGATTGCAGCTTTTTTTGTTTGCAGCAAAAATGGATATTAACAGGGAGGTTCTATTGGTGGTGCTTCTCATTCAGCAGAGCAGGGTTAATTGGCAACTATTCAAACAGTTGTTAAAGTCATTTTAATGCAAAAATGCTAAACATTCGTCCATGACAGCTTCTAAAATGTGAGGATTTGCTGCTGTTCTCTGTCATGCATCTTGGTAATAAAATATCTTGATCCTTTGGACTGTTGTTGAGAATAAACAAGCAATTAAAACACTTTGTCTTGTGGGAAATTCAACGTTTTTGGACATTTTATAGACTAAAGCATAGAGTGATTAATCAAGAAAACAATCTACAGAATAGTCAACAATGAAAATAAGGCAATTCTTAGGCATTGGCAGAGGTATTTCTAAACTCCTCAACAAATCTCAGGTCTATACTTGTGGAGTTGTCTGATACTAAGGCCACAAAAGCCCCTGGTGGTCGAAGGTATCGACAAATCCACAGTACCAGAAGTAATTCGTCACCACTGTGGTGGCATCTTCCTATGATACATACCACTGAATACATGCTGTCCAAGTGTACAATTTCCTACTGTTACCTTTACCTCGTATGTAACATTACTTGTGACAACACTGGGAAGAGCGTGTCCAGTTCTGAGCTGCTTTAACAGCAATGGCAAATGTAAGAACTGCTTAGCTAACGCAGCTAACGTTAACGGGTGGTGGACCAACAGAATAAATTCACTCAATCAACCAACTGTGGGGTGTCGTGACGGCAGCTGTTGAGAACTTTAACAAAACATGTAGATGTCCTCAAAAAAGTCTACAGTTTTACTTAAATCAATTTTAAATACACAGGTATTTGTTTAAGACCTACACCATCCATTTATGTAAGTTACTACGAGCCACCACGAACGCATTTGGTAAAACTCAAGTTACATGGTAGCTAAATCGTAACACCGGTAGCCCTATGTTTTGTAAGAGTGCATTTTTTTTAACTATGGAAATCTTAACTGTTATTTCATGTCTATATTTCATGTCAAAATTTGTCATCAACTAGCAAAGGTCATTTAGAAAATCGACAAACTTTGCTGCTGTCACTGTTGGCAGGCAGCAGCAGACACAGCGACTTCCCACCACAGTAATGGCATCGCTGCAGGATGGCACAATACACAAAACCGGATTGGTGTATAGACAGTCGTATTTTCTATCTACATTACTATGAGAGAACAGTGTTTGCTTCCACTTTGACAGCAGCAGATTAGTGTGGATGGCAGGAAAAAACTGAGGACAGAAAGGATTAACACCCTGCAAAAAATCATACAACCAGACATCACTTTCCAATAATTCTGACTTGATCAAACAAATGCTTTACATAGTCTGGATATACTTTACAATCATATTACAATCAGTGACATTAAACTGACATATCTTGATTCTTGAAGGGAAGTAATCTGATTCTGACGGTTAGAAAATTGCTTGCTGACAAACTGAGCTACCGCACTGCTAAAGGGAATGATGTCTCTTTAAGGAAGTGACTTGTCCTGCGACTGAGCCAGAGACACGAAGCAGACAATGTGAAGAGGAAGAGAGAACTGAGGATGAGGGCTTTCTCATGCTAATGACACTTCCACCCCCCTTTCAGTCTGGTTTCAACCTATTGTGGTCCCCACCTGTCAGTCAGGCCTCCTTCATGTAGATAGA